TAATATAAAAATTAATAAATTAAAAAAATATATTATAAAAATTATTTTTAATATAAATAAAATTAATATTAAAATAATATATTTTATTAAATAAAAAAATTATCTTAACTTAGAAAATATATAAGAACCCTTAAAATATCTTATTAATATATAATATTTTTTAAAAAATTTCTATTAATAATATTAAATAAAAATAAAATAAAATTAAGAATAATACTTTAATTAATAACCTTATAATCCTTTAATAATTAAACCTTAAATAAAATATAAGCCTCTAAATTATAATAAGCTTTCTTATTATAATATTTTACCTTATTTAGCTTATTTAAATCCTTATAATTATAATAAATTATCTTAATAGCCTTTTTATAAAGATATTTTTCTTAGCGATAAAGCTATTATAAATAAGATAAGGCCTCTAAAAGGTTTACCTTAGCTTTTTATTTTTATTTTTTAAAATAATCTTTCTCCTAAGAAATATAAATAATTAAAATATATTAATATATATTTACCCTAAGGAAAATATTAACCTATAGGCCTATAAAAAAATACTATTAAAATTATAAGTAATATATTTCTTTTTAATATAAAGGTTATAATATTATTTCCTTTTAGTTATTATATATAAATAATAATTAATATAAAAATATATAAAATACCGGGGTATCTTAAAATTAAATTTATTAATTAAATAAAAAAGGTTATTATAATATATAATAATAAATTTAAGGTAAGAAAATAAATTTTTAATAAAACCTAATACTATATTAATAAAAGGAATAATTATAAGTCTAAGTTACTTATAATAATATTTAGTCTCTAAAGCTAGCCTTAGGGATAAGACTAATAAAAGAGAAGCCTTATATTATAGCTATAATATAATTAAAGGTAATAATACTAAGTAAAAAAATTAACCTTACCTTATTAGCTAATTATAAAATAGAAAGTATATAAATTAAATAAAAATAATTTAATTTCCCTTAATTATATAAATTAAATATGAATAACTTAGCTTAACTTAACTATATTTAACTTTAAGATTAAGTTAATATATAAAATATATTTATTATATTTTCTTATATATTAATTGCCTTAGCTATTAATATAACTTAGTTATATTTAATACCTTAAGTATATTATTAGATATAATATTATATTACCCTTTAAAGCTATATAATTTAATCTAGCGCTAATAAACTAGTATGACCGGTTTATCCCTTGGGAAATATCCTTTCGTCATACGTGCTACCCCAAGTGGCTATCCGCGTACATAAAGATGGACGAGAGCACCTTGTGGCTTCACCACTGGCGCGTGGACAAGAACGTCGAGACGAACAAGCTCGCCAAGAGGGTGGCGTCCATAGACGAGAACGGGAACTTCTCCGTGTGCTTGACCAAGGACCGGGACTGGAACCTGATCGACGCTACGGGCGACAAGATCCCCGAGAGCAACCAGATCGTGCTCAAGACCATCCTCGAGAACCAGAACCAGCAGGCGAACTCGGTCCCCGGGACGAACAGCAACTAAAGCCAGCGCAGGATCACCGTCAAGGACCAGCTCGAGTACTCGACCGAAAACCTGGATATCAACGTAGACACGTTTATGATCATGACGATGGATGTGATCACGATACACGCTGGACAGGCACCAAGAACGTGAACCTGCTGATCAACGACCATCAGACCATGTGCAACATCACGTACAACTACTGCAAGGGGTGCCAGAAGAGGTACGAGCACAACGTCGAGCTCTGCGCCATAAGCGGGAATGGGCTCACGTGAGTCGATAGGTCGTGATGCAGTTTATAAACGTGCATAAGGTAGAGAACATAGTTAGCAAGCTAGATTATTTTATTATTTTATTATTTTATTATTTTATTAGTTTATTAGTTTATTAGTTTATTAGTTTATTAGTTTATTAGTTTATTAGTTTATTAGTTTATTAGTTTATTAGTTTATTAGTTTATTAGTTTATTAGTTTATTAGTTTATTAGTTTATTAGTTTATTAGTTTATTAGTTTATTAGTTTATTAGTTTATTAGTTTATTAGTTTATTAGTTTATTAAGTTTTAATTTTAATATTTTAATTTATTTATATTAATAACTTATTTCTTAATAATATCTAAGTTCTTCTATATATATTACTATGCCTAATAGTATAGTAGTAGTACTAGTGGTCAGTATAGTGCCCCGGCTCACGAAGGCAAAGATATCCTTAATGCAAAATAGTAAGTTACTAGTCCTGTAGTTTTAGCGTTCCTCCCCATTCCCTGTGAGCAATGGAGATGGTAATACCGGACTTGGGTGCGCAAATTTGTCCAACCCTTTGCTAAAGCACCATTTGGGGGACCCCGCCAGCCTTGTGAGGATCCCTCTGACAGGCCCGGGATGAGAGGTCATTTGCCGCAAAACATCCTGAGACATGCGACAATGCCTTGTCCCTGCTAATGTCCTTGCCACTCTTGCCAATCACGATTGCCTGAAACCGAATGTTAACGTCTGTTCTTGTAGTTAGGTGGCACGAGGCCCTAAAAACTCACGAGTTCGCCCTCATAGTCCAGGAAGCCATCCTGGGTTATCTTGGGTATGGCAATGTCCTCCAAGTCGCCATCCACCGAGGCCGATGGTTTGATGAAGACGGAAGGGCGCGGTGGTGGAGCACTTCCCCCTTCCTGAACTCTCACGTGGGCTGGGTCATTATACCCTCTATTCGCATTACATAGAGATAAGCGGCTGCATTCTGAGGACGTACTGTGCATGATGTAGTTGAGACCAATACAACGGATGATTGCTATGTCAATTGGCCGCAGGATATCCAACAGGCACTTTACGTGGGCCCTGTTTGACTGTCTCTGGAGCGAAAAGGGACTATTGCCCTGATATATAACGGACCAGAGATCATTTTGTTCCGGCGACGAAAGAGCTCCGTATCATCTGCCACAAGAGGCTCATCATATATCTCTTTGCCATGATCGTCGAGGAAGCGTATCAGACGATTCTAAGATTCAGAAGCCATGATGCATTGATTTAGGGGGGATGAACAGATTGTAACGAAGGTGGCAAAAAATGGGGTGATACGGAACAAAAAAAAATAAAGGGCTGAATTAACGTGGATACGTGAGATTAACAACAAGTAGAGCAAAGACGCCGTAAATGATTTCATATCCAACATCAGAATTCAAAGTTCGGCTCAAGAGTCATGAAGGATGAGAGGATTGCTGAGTTAGAGCTAAACCAATCAAGGAATAGATCGTAAAGGCGGGAAGCCGGGATGGAGGACGAGCGGATGACGTGGAGAGCTTCGGAAACGCTGCGAAGAATGGTTTCCTTTGACTGGATCACCCCTATATGTTGGGTGTTCACCGAGATCCCGATGCGAGCAATATAAATTTGCGGTGCCCGATGTGTACTCTAACTTGGAGCCATCAACCAAGCACTTAGAAGGCGCCGACTAAGGAAGAGAGCCAACCGATGAAAGGGCCCGTGCTGTGTCTTGCCTGATATCCTGGAAACTCGTGTCTCCCTATGGAGAAATCTAGATCCTGTCATGGTGGAGATATCGTCCTAGCCCTGATTTAAACTGAATATCGGGCGTCTAAGGACTATAAATTGTCTAGAAACTTGAGTTGTAAGAATGCCCACTCGGAGTCTTGATCATCCCTAGCAACCACCAAATCTCAGCTACTAATTACCCCGAGCTTGCGGGCCGCTGCAATGTAGTTAGCGCTCTTCTGGACGGTTGTGCCTGAGTGGGAAGGGAGTATGACTTATAACAGAAGATGCTGTACCTAGTAAAGCCGCTATTAGCTACTAGACAAACCAGCGTGATCTTTAACCCAGTAGGATTGTTAGAAAGCCCGTGCGTAGCTATGACTGCGCCTGCGCCCATGAGGTTGCCGATTGCCTGGCAGTTTTCTCCCACTTGCCAGGATATAGCTGCGCATGAGACGTTGAATATGGTTCCGCTAACGCCTAGGAACCATTTCTGTTGCACTGTAGCCCTTTGGGTTTGTTCTGCGGTCGAGCCGCTGGCCGTGATAGCGCTTCTAAGAACATCTATAAGCGTTCCGATACCGTAGCCCAGGAAGGCGAAGCTCGTGGCAAGTGTATTCTAAATAGGTCAGTAGTGCTTAAAGCGTTTAACGAATGATGAAAGAGTACTGATATCGGGCGATCTCGTCCGAGCATTGGAACTTTGGAGCTTAGCTTCGAGGGCAATATTCCTGAGGGCTTGTCTATTTTGCTAGAAAGAGAGGCCCAGAGAGATTGCACCGAAAATAAACTTGCAACATCCCTAGGCTTTAGAGCCGAGCCCCTCTATAATAGGTTGGTTTCCGTGCGCTTCGAGTAATGGACCACTGGCGTTTATGTCCATTTGAGCCGCTCTATTAGCGTTGTGAATAGCATAGCCTTCCTTGAACTCGATGAATAGCGTCAACATCTTGAACGCCGAGGTAAGGATGTTCAGGACCTCTTCAATAATTTGCCCCGTCTTTCTTGTATCAGCGCAGCACGGACAATGAGGCTCTGGAGCTTACCTGAAGGGTTTGTTTTTCTTCCTCCTTCCGACGCGAATCATCATCTCCTTTACCAGCGTCGCTGAATGTCATCATCATGACCATAGGGTTGGTATGCTCCGGCAGCGACGGACCGGGGTACTTTGCTGCCAGAGCCGCTTGATCGGCCGCGCGTCGAGCACCGCGATACATTGGCTCAATGTCGAACTGTGTCCACTGCTCGCCGAACGGCTGTCCGAACACCTTGTCCTTCTGTGCTTCTGTGAATTTGACCGTCACCAGATCCACGAACACGGCGATTCCATAGGTAGCAAAGTTGATGAGAGAGAACTCCTGGCCAATCCAGTCCTCCCATAGATCTGTGAGTCCAGGAATCTTCCATGCCTGCGTCAGAATGGCTGGAATAGTCATGACAACTCGAATGAGAGTGTCAAAAGCAAGGAGTGCTAGGTCGCGCGTTGCATCAAAGGCTTCCTTGAACATTTTCCTGGCCGCCCTGATCAGGATAGGTATCAATTCCCTTGGCTTCGTCAACACGTCAGTCGCCGACATGGATATGACGCTGAATAGTTCCATGAAGGCTCCAAGACCAATCTCCAGAATGCCTTTGGCTGATAGGCCGATAGCTTCTGCCAGAGGCCCAAAGTTTGGGAGCTTCCAATCTGGAAAAGCCTCTTCGATGTCTTCCGAAGCGCCTTCCATGATCCACGATATAGGGTTGAACTTGAAAATAAGTTTTATGATTGGGGAGTTCAGCAGGGATCGTACGAAGCGCATGACGGACGATTCTTCTCGCGGTGCGTCATGCTCTTGAGCATTTTGCAGATCGCCGAAAAGGACGTCTTCAGCGTCTTCAAAGAACTGAAGCAGGCTCTCCCGATTGGTGATGAGGAAGCGATTCAGTACGTCAAGAGATCCCAAGGTGACTTCTTTTAACCGCTGATGAAGTTGTTAGCGCCATTAGACAGAGTGATGGGCGGATATGATACTGACATTTTGGATGTTGGGAATGTGCTTGCCAAAGTGAAGACCAAGCCATCCCATCATGTCAGTTCCTAGTAAATTATCGAGGACACCCACCACAGATCGCACCAGAGTGACTGCGGTTTTGACCATGATGCTGAGCACCTTGGAGCCAACTCTGACAATAAACTTGACTATGGGCCCGGCAATCTTGATGGCCCACTTGACTGTGAACTTGACGGCTTTCCTTAGGAATTCGATGGCGTCTCCGATGTATTCCACTGCAACGTCGAGGGCTTTGCCAAACCAGGATTTCTTCCCTGAGCTGTGAGTTGCGTCAACTTCAGACTGATCTCCATTCCAATCTGCCAGCGTCACACTGGAATTGGCCCAAGATACGCCTGCCGCATGCTCCTCGGCCGAATCATCCTTTGCGGCCTTCTTGAGCTTATCGAAGTTTGAAAGCAACACCGCCGATGCTTCAAGCTTCTCGTCAGCGATGTGATCAAACTTTTGCTTCCCGGCCTCTGTTCTAAAGCTCTTCAGATCGTCCTTGGACTTTATGGATGCCATGACACTCATCACTCGCGAAGCCATGTTGATCGAGAATGTAAAGGGCCTCTCGGAGTATTCGTTCAGAGCCACGTCGATGTCAGAAACGCCAAATTGATGAGGCGCGGCTGTGGTAATCTCAATCTGCCCCATGCTGTCCGTGGTGACATTCGTTGATTGGGATCTGTTCAGCCGGTATGAGAGGTCGTTGACCGTCACAAAAACAGGCTCAGATTTCAACGCTTCAGTGTAGCCTTGGGGAACGGGATTGCCCTCTGAATCAGAAATCGTGATTGTCGTCAAGTATTGTCTCTCTTTGGTCATGGTAGCTGGGCCTTTTATTTGCAAGTCTGTCGAGGTCCACACAGACGTCGTTGGATCGCGTGCAAGGTGGCATATCTGATTGTCCCGTTGAGTAGTGTAGATGAACTCCATCGATGAAAGCTCTTTGTTGAAGTGACAGGCAATTTAGGCAACGTCTCCGCGGATCGGCAGGCCAGAGTACCGAAAAGTTGGGAGACCAAAGTTCTTGGGGTCGCGCTCGCCATCAATGACGTACAGCTCGTTGTCTTGGGAAACAGCTAGAATCGAGAGCAAATACCGTCTCGGGTTCGAAAGCATGGTCTCTTTACAGAAGACCTGGCGAAAGGCAATGTCGGGCAAGATAATCTGACGATCCTTGTCGAGACACGGATCATTCAGATTCTGAAATTGGTGGAACGCAATGCCGTTCCCAGCTATGAGCACATCATGTGTGCTACTCTGTTAGTAGATGACTGTCATACAATCGGTGGCATGTTCTTACCCCCAGGAGTTGAGCGAGGTGTGTATGCCTGAAAGCCTACCGACCTTGGTAGTGTTCAGCGAGTACTGAGAAAAGGCCTCATCTCTGGCGTCGTTGAGCGTCACAGCATTGCACCGGAGGATCGAGCCAGCCTCGTGTCCTGGTGCAGGCGCATCGTGTAGCAGAGCCAGCCCAGAAAGCCTCTTGCTTTGGCCGGAAGCGCCACCGAGCACCAGCGGCTGTATGTCAACAATCTTGTTTGACTGAGCACCGAAGTTGATGACGGTCCATGGCGCTTCCGCTGAGGGGCTCGGGTCAATGGCGTACGTAGAAGCAAGATATGTCGCCGTGGTCTGTGTGGCAGCAAAGATGGTGAAGCCGGGCTGTGCGGCATCCGGATCGAGGCTGCACATGAGCTTCGTGGTGACGCGAGAGCCCAGGTTGTTCTCCACAGGTGTCTAGTTTAGATCTCGAGCCCCCATTAGCTAGCTGTCATGGCGCAGAGTCAGATAGCTTACCAGAAGCCAAGAACCCTTTCAAGCTGCCCTCGTCGTCGACCTCGACTGTTGACAGCTTCAGGGTGGTCCAATACACTTGGCGAATCTCCCCATCGCTGTCTTCCACCTTGTGCTTCAAAGAAATAGCAATGTGGAGGTACTGCCGGACTCCAAGGACGCCGAAGCTGCTCACGACAGAGGAATTCGCTTGAGCGATCGGTGGAGTGACGTCAAGTAGTTGCCAGGGATGCGATGCCTTGTCTGCATGGAGGACACAGTACAGGTGCTAAGGAATATGTCAGTACAGGCTATGCTGAAAGTTTGAGGAGACTATCTGACCCCGTCTGAGCCAACGGAGAAGACCATAGGCTGTCCCTTTGCATCATGCACAATGTCAAGCGGACTGTCTTGACCGCCTTTGGTGAGAAAAAGAGATGTTTGGACGCTGCGCAAAATACTAGGATTCCCCAGGCTTTACGAGAATTCGTGCCAAGTGAATATTCTACAGACATTGTGAAAGCTTCTCAACAGCAGTCACAGCACACGCTAGTTGCCGACAGCGTCATTGAGAAGTTCACCGCTCTCAGCGAGCAGAGCTATACCGTGACCACTCTGTTTTGTCTGTTTCAAGGCAAGCGCATCGTCAACTCTTTCGAGTTTTTGAACATGCAGGGTGCAAGTGAGCTGGGCTCCACCAAGGCTACAGAGGCTGCCAATCTCATCTCATCATACTTCAAGGCTCTGTCCGCCAACCCGAAGTCTGCATCAACCCCAAACAACCCTTTTGTTCTAGGCTATGGCCTTACACAGAAGCTTGAGGAAATCCCTGCCAAGGATAGGAAGCAGGCGGAGAACGTTCCCTACTTTATTCCCAGACAGTTCGACCTGACTGTGACGAAAGGAGACGGAGAATACTCCAATGGTGTCATCAACTACTGTCTCCTTACACACAGGCCTGATGAGGACCCCAACAGATCAGTTGGCGAGGGCCTCAGGTCCATCGACTACGAGAAAGACGTCGGCGCCGGCTTCTGGGACGCTGGAAACACACCCTACAAGCGCATCAGGGCAGATGGCAAGGCAAGCGGGGCCGATGGAGTTATGACTTTCTCACGTGAGATCTTCAGAGATTACTGGCTTTCGGAGAACTTTCTCTCCTACTTTAAAGTCAATATGGATGCTTTGGGTAGAGACCTGGTCCCTCAAGACGATAATGTTGCCAGCGCGCAGCCCACGGCAACATATAACGAATACATCTCCAAGGGGTATCAGGACCAAGTCAATAAGCTCTGTCTGACACAGGAGTATAAGTTTCAGCCCATGACCTGTCAAGACATGGACACGGATAAGATGAAAGAATCGGAAGATTTGTCTGCTTTCCTGAGTTTGGTGCTCATAGCTTCAAAAAAGATCAATCTGGAGCTCAAGTATCTCCAGCGACGCCAAGCCCAAGGTAGGATACTATATGGCTCGAAACAGTATGATATGCTGGCTAACAGTCTTCCAGGCTTCGCCGAGGCGATATTGACATACACCAGCGATGTGCAAAAGAACCCCAATCTTGGCAAGTCGGCCGATACGAACCGCAAGATCTACTTCGATGTCGCCATGCGCTCGCTGTTGTCAATCACGCAAGAGGCCTCTGGTATCTGCAATATCAATCGCCTGTTCGAGGACAGTAAGTCTCCGCCTCTCGTGTTGCTGAATTGGGATGCAAGCATACTGAACAATTGATCAGAAAAACGAGTGGCAATGTGGACGCTCACCGCTGGAATCGGACTCGCCGCCGAAATGATAGCTAACCCACAGTGGTTCATCGACATTTTTACTCAATGGCGCGCTGCTCGACGGGCTAACATCCAGATCGTCACCAAGGTAGGCTTTGACATGTCTCCTGCCGGCGACACGTGGTCACTCGCTCTTGAAAAGGACAAGAGCAGAACGACGGTCCCCATCGGTTCCGAGGAGCTGCCAAAGCAGGTCAATCCTCCAGTTTCCTTCACCACCCTAGAGAATATCATTGGAGAGCAGAAGATGACGGACCTGAGCAAGCGTATGAAGGGAGATGGTGTCATCATTGACCTGGAGAACCACGACATGTTCAAGGAGTTTGGAACCTCGAAGGGGATGGACCGCTTCGCCAAGCCTGCCAACCAGTGGGCTTCGAACTTCGAGTCTCGTATGGAGTCAAACATGGCTGCGCTTGCGAGCTCTTTGATGACCAAGTTGATCCTGCCGGCTGGCAATGTGTTTGAGTTCAAATCACTAAACACGGATGATGAGGGCCATGTTTATAGCTTGATTTCCTACAAGACACCTACCGATGTCTCGAAGCTATAGGTTGATGGGGTTTAGGGAGACAGCGAGTGTTATTCATAACCCTAAGTGTTTTGGTTGCTTCAAACGGTGCACATGATCAATATCATGTCCTGGCTAGGTGGCCTCCCCAGAATAAAGAAATGCCATCCAGTATCCTGAGGATTGCAGCCGAATGTACCTCGAGTCGTCAATCTTGCTGATCACCACTTCTATCAAAAGCCTTGTAGGGCGGCAGGTGGACACGCTCGAGGAAGCATACTACACGAAAAATTAATACTATCCTACCAAAGATTATCTAGTTTCAAGCTTGAAGCTGCCTTGGATGTACTGCTCATAGACACTATACACGATGCTTATTCATCTATTGCATCATCACGTTTTATTTAGCATTTAAGGGGATGAGAACGGCATGGTGACACCTCATCCATTACCTGCACCATAGTTTGCCAGTGGGCTCTTATCTTGAATTGAGGCTACTTGATCCGTGGCCTTGGAAAACGCGAACAATATCCGATCAATGAGGTGTCGTTCTGGCGTTGGAGCGGCAAATGTAATATATGCGAGGAAGATGCTTGCATCCATGACATAGCAAGATAGTGAGTATAAGCGACGTTGATGTTCCTCTAACAAAAGAAACAAAGAACCTTCAGTCTTAAGAACTGTAAGTGCTCCCATGATAGCTACTTGCCTGCTTTCCCGGTGGAGCGAGATATGGCTCTGGTGAAGAGACAGCAGGAAAGAGTTGGCTACAACGGCAACGGTGTGACGTTCTTGCACTATCCATGGACACTTGGAGTCCCATATCGTGTCTGGATTGTTCTTCCGTATGGCAGGCGGTAGTCATTCAAGCATTTCCCTAACATCGCGGTCAAGATTCATGACAGTTTCATAGCTCGAAACATGCCGCGTGTGTGTGCCAGATGAGAACATCGCGTGCACTTTACACCCGATATCGTAATTGAATAGTTGCACAGCAAGGGAAGAGGGTAGTCCGTCGATGCCTGATGCTTTTGGTATGCAAGAAGAAGGGTCTTGGGGGAATTCGCAATCTGTTGGTTTCTTCGCTGAGCAGTCATTGAGGTGTATCAGGCGGGGCCGGTTGAGAATGACGGCCATATGGCTGGAGGCGTCAGTTGGAGAATGCATCAATGAACCAGACAAGCTGACCTATCCCAAACGAACAAGATACCCCATAAACGACGTTTATATTCGTCGTACCACATGTTAGCTACCGTCTCCTTGATATCAGCCCCAGACTGATTGACGTTAACGTCAAGGTGAAAGCCCTGGTCTTGCGCCCCCCTAGCTCACAGTTAACTCGCTTACATTGAACGCACCGACTTGGATACATACCTGATCGCGCTTCCCAAACCATGCCACGCTGCTGTTCCACGTCCCGAGCTCTGGAACCATACCGCTCTTAGAAGATCATGTTACACGCTGACAATGGTTGGATTTCGCGATTAAGTAGCGCCATAAATTCCTCGCCGAGCTTACTGTATGTATGAGATAGCTTGTCACAATGCTCCTGGTCTTCGATTCCGAGTTCTCCACGCACCGCAACCTGAGACGGAAGAAACTGCAGCGCGACGGCAACCACTTGAGAGATGAGAGCTGAGAAGAATCGGATATTGCGTAGCAAGGAGGCTGTGGTCAATTGAGCATTACTAGTGAGCCAGTCCGAATGAAGCTTATCAAAGTAGAAGCGCTCCAAGACCTGAGAATATAGGAATGTTTGCGCAAAAAACACATCCACGAGGTCTGCGAGGATAGCGTTTGGGGGCAGCCGGGAGAGCAGTTCGCGATACCTCTGGCTGGTGCCGGGATCAGGCGCACCAATAGATCGCCAATTATCACGAGGAGAGAGGATACCGAATGAAATAGTCTGAGCCGTGTTAGCGGGCTTAATTGACGACTCTTGTTGGATTGCCCACTTGTTGCAATTGAAGTAAAGGGATGTGCCCCTGGCGCGTGAAATAGCCAATCTGCTCGGTGAGAGCCAAGGTAACGAGGTCATGTCCGTGTTGAGTCCCTTCGGCCTCTTCCTCAGCTTCATCCATACTCGAGAGTAATGCGTGTCAGGCGAGAAGAACGAAGATGCTCGCAGGATCAGAGACGCGTATGGCTAACAGACATACCCTTTGGATCATCATAGAAGCAACGGTCAGTGACCTCGCGGCAGACACAACACATACAAGGCCGTTGTCGATTACACTGGGCGAGCCATGTCTTAGCTATGTTGGAGAGCCGGAAGCTTCCATGGGCCGCACACCTTCTGTTTCCTCCTGCAGTATTCCGAGCACGCTGTGACGGCGCGTTTTTGCGTTCCTGTGGGTTGAAGGTCCATTGAAACGTTTACTTGGCCTCGCGTTGGCAGGAGAATGTTCTGGAAATAAAGTGCTTGCACCTTGGTGTGCCCACCGAAAGGATACCAATTTTGTCTTGGTCTTCCCTTGTTGCCTTACTGATGAGGTAAACGGGATGATAGGCATAAAGACGCGTTATTTAATGTTGTGTTATCATCCGGTGTGTACAAATAAGGAAGTCAGTCATCGTCAATTGATCTACTGTTGGACTTCTGCAGGTGTGCGTGAGGAGAGGTGCTAAATTCGGCGGGTTGCTCAGAAGTCCACCCCCCACTGCGTCTTCGAGGCCATGACCACGCGTGAGCTGCTCACACTGACATTTGAAGATTTTACAAAGCTGCCATAAACAATGACAACCCGACGGGTGGGTCGGCTCTGCTTGTGCAACCTGCTGATGGCTAGACTAAATCAGTAGTGTAGAAATATAGGGTAGTAGCTGAGAACAAAGCCGCGGCAAAGGACAGTCTAAGCGAGCCAATCAATCACGCACAGTATAAATAAACGCCTTGTTACGCGAATCACTGTAGTGATGGCGGCAAAACTGCGGGAAAATAAGTTCTGAACACAAAACATCCATCGCAACCCAACATAACACGTCGCAAAACCATCATCACCACTCCGATATCGCTATCACCAATCTCGACAATCGGTGCCAATGAAATATCAAAGGATAATTGAATGGATCTCACAGACTAACCTGGAGTGTGACTGGAGCCATCACCACGACGACAAAGCCAGAGCTCACCACCACCCACTTAGTCCACCGGCGACTCAGGACACGCGTCGCAAGCATAAGCGAACCATGTCCGTGTCGGAACGATCAGGGCAGTCTGCAAAGAGACCAAGGATCGAGTCGTCTGAAGATGAAGATGAAGATGATGAATATCTGGCTGAAGTGGACAAGACGCCCAGGCCTCAATCCAACATCTTGCGTCAACATTCATTACCATCAGAGTCTCAGTCGCAAACATCGGGTCGCTCATCGCCTTCCAAGCAAATGAATACCCTAGAACTGTCAGGCTTCAAGTGGAACCAGCAACTATCACTGGCAAACCCGGACATTCCGGACGAGCTTTTCGAGTTTCTCACTGAAATTGTTAACTGCAATAACGGTATCGGCATCATCTCTCGAGATGAAAAGGTTGGTATTCTGGAACACATATCCCAAGGATGACCTAATCATGATGAACAGGCCCAGATTGCACAACGAGCCCAAAGCAATAGATCATATCGCCTGTTTCAAGACGTCATGTATGCGGATCCAACAGTCCGTGATGCAATTGGCCTTACACCTCCAATCGATGATGTCGAGTGGGTCGTCGCCGAGGCAAGAGAGTGCCAGGAGTTTTCACACCCAGAAGCATCATGGAATGAAAGTGTTCACTTTCCATTGCTGCACAAGGCAGTGTACGGTCCAAGACGAAAACGCCAGCGCGTCGGAGTAGGGAACTGGTAAGCCTCTCCTCTCATGTCACCATCTCTGAAGCTGACCGCCGCAGTACAACTGCAAAACTGATTCGAGAGTATCTGCCGAAAAACACCTTGGCAAAGAGAGTCGACTATAGTTTCTTCATTGATCCTGGAGCTGATACATTACCAACCTCAAAAAGCCCAGCGGAAGCCGTCGCCGATCTACGCAAAGTGATGCCCTGCCAAGTCATTAATCACACCGCATACCGCCCATTCCGCGACCGCCCCATGGTCGTCACCGTTGAGACTAAGAAGCGATACGGTTCGCAAGAAGGGGCCGAGCTTCAAACAGGGACGTGGCATGCAGCGCATTGGGAATTCCTTGCCCGGCGGATCGAAAAGACTGGAGGCACGCTCGAGGGGTTGCCCTTCTTGCCGGGCATACTGATACAGGGACATGACTGGAGCTTTGTGGCGACGACACGAGAAGAATCAAAAACAGTCGTATGGCTGGAGCAGAAGTTTGGCTATACCAATGATACGATTGGTGTGTACAAGGCTATCTGGGGAGTGCAGCGGTTAGCGAGATGGGTGGATGATGTTTACTGGCCCTGGTATAAGAAGAATGTGCTCTGTCTTTAAGTTATATCAGTGGTCCTATTTGGGTCAGGGTCTGTTTGTCATTTAGGAAGATACATATGCATATTATCGCCTTTCAATCGATCGATCGATTCCTTTATATTATTATAATCCGCTATGCACTTCTGGCCTACCCCGTCGCACTCTGTCTGGGCTGTCCACCCAGTCGGCCGCCCCTAGCAGCTCAGGAGGTTCCAACTACTCTCTATCGGCCACCTTATCGCCCTCGGTAGACACGGGGGCATTAGCCTCGTCTCGCGCGCAGCCTCGAACCAGGCCACTCGCCTCGCGCCCATTTGATCATTCGTCCCGGCGTCAGATGAGAGCAGCCGTGGACCGCCCAGGGCTGATCTGGGGGGCTGATCAGGTCTTATATGCTAAGCTGGAGGGGCAAGCAGACTCTCACGCTGGCAGTGGCAACGGGGCTAGTATTATGTCCTGGATTCCTGGCATATCGGTGGAGATTATATAGGTACAGGGGAGAGTAACTAATAGGTTAACGAATGCGCGCTTTCTCACGTATATACTGCTGGGCCTGGTGACAGAGGGATAGTGGTTTATGATCTTAGAGGCCGTCGATCGATACTTTCGGCCGACGCCCTCGAGGACCTTGAGAAGAAGGTGGGATAAGGCCCCATGTCTCTGCCCGTCGAATCTGGGCTCGATCGCCACTTCATGGGGTCCACACGCGGTGAGAACGGTAGAGCGATCCGGGTCGAGCAGCCAGTTGGGAAGCATGGAGGCATCTCGATGCGCTGGACTGGTGTTCTTGTTTCGATTCAACTTGATAAAACAGAACCGAGGACATGATCAAAAAAGGGCTGGTTGTCACCTTCGTTCTCGACTGTTGTTTCTCCGCAAATGTCTACCGCCGCATCCAGTCTATCCTATATGACCCCGAGATCGACTCGTAACATCCACTCTGCGACGGGAGCCCAGGAAACAAGATGGTTAGAGTACAATACAAAGAAACAAAATGTGTCAGCCATAATATAGATAGCTATTTTTACATAGTAGCACAATTCCACGCTGCCGACAGTGACCACCCACCACCTCGCTCATCTGACGACTTGGTCCGATGCTGGACCTTGACCTTGCCCTCGCCACACCCATCCACCTTGTGATGGTGCTCAACAAAACAAGTTCTGCCACTTGTCTTCAAACCGATATCACAACCGACCTTGGTCTTTGCGTGGCTATTCCAGTGATGGTCAACTGCAGCTCCAACACCATCCAAACCAAGTCTGCTACTGATGCAAGCGAGAAAATCGTTTTGGAACGGCTCCCCGTTACGTCGAATGCGATCCAGGCGTCCTGCGTTGTCGTCCAGGTCGGAAGGTCCCCATAGCTGCCCAGGCCAAACTCGACTCTCTCCAAAGGCGACTTATAGACGAGTCTCTTGGTGGTGCATGGGAATGTCAGGTCGGCGTGGGGATCAAACGTAAAGCTATGGTCATACTCCAACCGTCCTGCCTTGGCCCACCGAGGAGTTTTGAGTTGAATGTCAAGCTTAGGTAGTCCGGAGCCGGAGGCACTCCAAGTGACCCAACTCTGGTCAATGAAGTTTAGGGGTGCGTTGTACCCAGGAGAGTCATTCGAGCTACTTCACGAGTCAATTATAGACAACTCCAAGAAATCTACATGGAGCAACGATACGCACCTCCCTCGTTGAGTCGTGAACGTACGGGGCATGAACGTAGTATCACTTGTAGGTGCCATCGGCGGTTCTGAACTCGATGAAGCATCTCCCTCGCGTAGGTTGGAGACGAAAAAGTCATACTCGTGGTTTCCTGGCCCCTTGGGGACAGAACTGTATGCCGAGGGCTTGGGGCGGTCAAGGCTGGAACCCGAATAAGGATTACAGTCCCTAAAGAAGTCGAAGGTCGAGTGGTTGTTAAGGATAGGGCTGCTAGATGGGAAACTCCAGTGTCCAAATCCAGAGCCTCCGAAGCTAGAGTCTCTGAATTCAAAGCCTCCGCCACCAAAGTCGAAGCCGTTAGATCCGAAGTGCTCGGCCATGATGGTAGGTAATATTTGCGGATATGGCTCAGCTTTTGGAGTGTACTATCGTAGTCTCTCAGAGAGAACAAAGGGGAACTTCAGAGCGTGAGAAAGATGTTGATGACAGCAGAGTAGAGTGTGCTGGCTATTCTTTGTTGTCGGAATATTAACGAGGAGGGGAAGACCGATCGGTCGAACACGAGTCTATTTATGTTTGGTGTCGGGCTCGAAGATCTGGGGCCAGGAGGGATCAGGGTCAAATCGGCAGATATGAGGCTCAAGAGTCCCAGAAGAAAACGGCTAGGTTGGGCACTGGTTAACTTGGGGATTGGTTGAACAGAGCAGGCTTTGATGCAAGGGCATTGTCCTTGCAGCCGCTAGCCCCGACCCAAAGACTGTCATTGGCCGGCCCGCAACCGTTCAGTTGTCCCCCCAAAGTTAGACGCACACCACTAACCAAATGATGATGCAACCGTTGTCTAATACCGTGGCTGCGTGGACACTCTGACACTCAACTGATTCGTACAGTGCTACCGTAGTACAGTATTCATTTTGGCTCCGCTAGGGACACTCTAAATTAGCCGTCACGATGGTCATTGAAAGATCAGACAAACATTGCGCCCGCTGTATTGTTTCTTGCTTAAAAGGTGCCCGTCCTAACGCATTTGTAGGTGTTCTGCTCGCCTAAAAATAGCATAAAGTGCGTGTTCTCGGCCACAGAGTAGATCTGGCATGTGAACCGAACAGTTAGAGAGGCCTAGAGCTGGCAGCCAATGAGTACCAGGCCACAACATGAACACCTCCTCTTTATCAAACCCCTCTCACTGTCAATATACCCCATCTCGTTTCCAATCTTTTCCGTTTCATTACTATTGTCTGCAACGATGAAAAGAAGCCATCAGCCACAACAGCAAAAAACACAGTCAATAATACATGACGGTATTAAAACCCAATACCGTATAACACCGTAATTTCCCATTTCATCCCCCTCAAGCCTCATCCATAACTGCTCTGCTGAACGGACAGCAATGGCCCCAGAGCAAAGGCCCCCGAAGCACACTGAAGAGGAGTGGGAAGGGATCAAGGAGGTCTTCACCACACTCTGGATAGACGACGACTTATCCTTACGGGAAGTTATCGACGCCATTGCCACCAGTCACAGCTTCCAAGCGAGGTGAGTAACTTGCCATTACCTGTACCAAACACGGCTCCTGGACCCGTGCTAAGTTCGACTGATGCTGAGGTTTCATGGAATTTGCGCAGTGAGCGTCAGTACAAACATAGAAGCAAGAAGTGGGGTATACGCAAGTCCTAAGGAGTGAGTTTTCTTCACAGATTTATAGTCAAAAATAATCACTTGACTAACTTAATATACAAGCGACAGTCAATAAGAACATTCACCGCCAATGCATCAAGCTCTGCCGTCCATGATGGCAACAGGTTAAGAGCAGAAAGAAACCAATACCCTGAGATTCTCAGTGGATTAATGCCGTCATTGAAACCAACACTCTTCAGGCCCCTACAGTCGCCAGGCCATCTAAGATCCATGCACCTCGCCGCATTTGCAATCCATGATTCCTTCCAACGTGCCCAGATGCTCATGCTGGCTCCTCCTATGAACGACGCAAACCGAACCGGTTTGACAGTTCCACACAGGCATGAAGATGGCTGGCCTCTTGGAGAGTTTTATGTGAGGGCTCAAACCCTTTCCTCCTTCATGTCCGTCCCCAACTTCGCATCCCGAGCTCTCAACATTGAGACACTGAATGGTGGAATCCAGGACTATGTCAGTCAGGTGGTCGACGACATGACTCCGAGCCCCATCAATATTATCTGTATACTACAGCTCTGTTGTAGATTTTGTCACGATGACCAGATTCCCGTTCTCAGAATTCTTTTTCGCTTTATCAGGCAGAGGGCCGCCTTGAGAACCCACGGGCACCATCTCCAGTTGCTATGCGACTCGCTCCTGGATTCGTTGGATATTCTTCTGCCCATCATACTCTTTGCCGCCCGCCAGGCAGTGCAGAATTCAAGTACTGTACTCGGGCCGCGTCATCCTCAGACTCTCAGCGCTCTGCGTGGGCTTCATTCAGCTTTGTTGTGCTGGGGGGACTTCTCCAGTGCCCTGCAGGTTTCTATTCACTGTGAGAACCAGGAGACAGAGGTCGAGCGAGACAGCTTAGATGCAACGACCGCATGGCGCGTGGAGGCGGCAGTCAGGCGGATCCGCTGTGAACTGTCCATGAACCGGCTCCACGATGCTGAGGTCCACTTAAGCGAGCTGGCACGGTCAGTGAGGGCTATCGAGGTTGAGTCTGGAAGTATCGACTGGCATATCTTGTTTGCGTTTTTGGATTTCCGCGGTGAGCTACTGCGTCTCCAGGGGAATCCAGCTGCAGAGGACTTGCTTGAGGAGGCGTATTCTGTTGCACAAGCTAACTGCCAGTTGTTTAATTGGTGGTATTTTATATATGCTGAAAGGCATATGGAGTTTGCCAAAAAGCCAATGAATCGCTGGACACCGTTCCATCTTTTCGTATGACAGAGGATACCTAAGGGTAAAAGGTAAAAAGTTTTATATCGCTTAGCACGGGTGCATAACTAGCTGGTAACTAGGCATAAATCAGTGGTCCTTTTTGTTGCATACGCCTCTACCCAGATTGTCACAAGAGTGCACCACGAGAGTCAGAGTGGTGTTACAGATCTGTTGCAGATTCGGCGGGTCTAGTATCATGGCCTCGCCTCGTCAAATATAATGAGGACGAGGAAGGAATAACACGACGGGACAGAGTTAAATCAATCACTAATCTATTCTCTGTCTTGAGATTATCATTTGTCTTGACTGACCGCCCTCTCGTATGGGAATATGGGGGTTAGGGATGGCGCGTGAGTCCCGAGTGCAAAAGTTTATTCAGAACAGAACAAAAACAACAAATACGGGAAAAAGGGAAAAAGGCAATCGAATGAACCTAGTCCCATATTCTTCCCTATCCTATGGAGTGAATTATTGTGGTTTGGAACATTTAACGGGTTGAATTTTGACAAGTTGGTCGCTGACAGAAGGAAGCTCTTGGCTGAAGAACGAACTGGTAAAAGCGGCATGTTCACTGCCCGAGGCCGAGGGCGCCCGACCGATACTAGCCTATCTGCGAAGAATTGCGAGGCAGAAACCAAAAGAAGCATTCGAAGCCTGGTAGTCTCTCGCCTCCCCTGAGTAATATAAGAGATTTAATATCAAGGCAATAGTAACTTGCCCGCCAGAGCTATCACTCCCGCGAGTAGTCTTACACCGTTTGCTAGCAACGAGATCCCTCTATGGGGATTTTGCCGCATACCACGAGAGGTTCAACCATAGCGAAGCACGAGTATGCAACCGACGCAAAACACCTGACCATATCTTCTACTGTAGAAAGGTACCGCCACGGCATCGAACAAGGCTCGCTCCCTCGCCAGACATAGCAGTAAATCTAGCATTAGGGAGTGACTTTGATAAATTTATTAAGCTAGCCAAAACAAGCCCTTTCTTTGCTAGGGTCTGCCCTCGCTACTTGACGAGACTAATCCGAGACGCACTTACGTTTGCTCCCTCCTTTATCTTCTCTATTTTTATTTTATTACCTCTTTCTGTTATCTGGTCTCGACCAGATGGGGACGCCGTAGCTCCCCATCTGAGCGTGGCCACCCATAGCTATGACCCTCTATTATGGGCATCCTAGTTACAGGCTGAACCCACGGCTACTGTTTATCAGCCGCGCCTGATCAATCTGCTGACGGGTTACAGGCTCGATATAATGCGCCGCCTGTGCCGATGGTATGCTGGATAGGGAATAATGTAGGATTAGATCATAGGTAGACTCCCCAAGCTCAGCACATCCATGCTCCTCTAGGAGACTTCTAGGGCCTCACAGCCCCTGGACGAACAATACGTAAACATACATACATACGTACATACATACATACATGCAGTTACCCTGAGAGAAGAAGGAACCGCTAGGCGAGAGCTATGTTGGCCACTGCAGGCGGCACGCAAGACCCGTACAATCGCTAGAGCAAGTATATTAGATATTCCATTGTGTTCAAAGATGATATGTGCGCCAACCAATAAGTTTGGCAATTCGCCGAGATATCACATTTAAGCTCTAATTAAGCCCATACTCCTATTAACTCACCCCAGTAGCCACCACTTAAACCTTTGTATCTTAGTCATAACCGAAACCTTCCTCCTCGATAGCTTAAGTCACTCCTATGACTTAACGACTTAAAAACCTTAATCCCCTCCCCCTATAGCTGACTTCCCCGCTTTATATATATCCTCTTAGCGGCTTTAATATCGCAACTAGCTCTAATAGGCTATCGACCTAGCCTATATTTATTATTATCGCCTTAATAAGGCGGCGCCTTATAGGCTTTATAAGTCCTTTAAGCTCTAATAGCTCTATATATTATATAAAGCGCCTAAGCGCTTAAGGTACTCTTAGGCTCTTTAAAGCTATAAGAAATACCTTATAGGCTAAGATAGCTAATTTAATATATTATATTCCTCTAAGTATTATTTGCTAGAACTTATAAGATAATATTATATTAATCTAATAGATTAAAAGCTATTCTATATTTTATATAATCTAGCTTATTTCTTTATTATTATAAAGATAAGAAAAAAAATAATAGTGCCTATAGGTTATAGTAATAATAGTAATAATAATAATAGTAATATTATTAAGGTTATATCGCTAATTAATTATAATTCTTATAGGTATTATATTTAAAGATATAATATTAAGAGATTATAGCTTAAGAAGATAAAAAAGTAAATAATTCTCTTATTCCTTATATAGAGGTTAAAGTAATTAAAATACCTATAAGAGGCTAGACCTTTTATAATAATATAGCTAGGTATAACTCTTTTACTACTATAGAAGTTTAAATAGGCTATTATATTAATATTAGGTTATAATATTATATTATATTTAAGATCTATTCTTTATTATAGTTATAGCCCGGCCCTTAGTAGGTTAACTAAGCCTAAAGATCATTAGATATTTATCTTCGACGCTGAATGAAATATTGTACCCCTAATCCTCTTTAGCAAAGTAAGTCGCCTAATTCGGCCAGGTGCTAAAGAGTGACGCCGATATGAGCCTCGCCGCTTGCACTACGCTTCTAATATATCGTAGCATTCATTTCAATAAGAATAAAGCATATCATTGAAATATTCATATTTCAGTGAGTGTTACTGATATTTAAGTCACTGGACGCGAATTGAAGGGCGTTCATATTGATGGTGAACCTCTCAACCGTCCACTGCGCAGCTTATTTAATATTCGCCGCGTGTATCAGAAATCGCTATATACCGCTGAGTTGAAGCCTCTATTAAGCTAACTCGAGAAGCCTTCCCGAGGTATTGGTGCCAATTGCGTAGTAAGATGACCTACCTACACAGGTTTCTACGTGCAAACGCAGAAGATATACATTTGCGGGCTTCGAATCCAGGCGTGTATTCTACGTGGACTACCACAGCCATCATGGAAGGACAGTCAGCTTCCGCAATAACTGACATTGCAGCATAGCTCACTATAGGGCACACTTTCCGAGGTTGAAGACCCTAGGATGGGGCCCCGGCGCTGATACGCTTCGTGACCCGCCGTGTGTCATCATTATAGTAATGAATAAGTTTACCGGGCCACCTTATTTAACCACCTATAATAGGCATAAGGTAATACCTATACTCCCTGTGAGGCGAGACTTCTTTCTTAGATATCTATAAGTATACGAATAGTTTCTACTTATAGTATTATATACTATTACTATTAATAAATCACAGAGTATTAAGGTAGATAAGATAGTAATAGATCTATCTAAATAAGACTTTTAGATAGGACTAGGTATATTATAGTATTAAGAGTTAAGATACTAGAGGGGTAAATAATAGATGCCCTATTTTAATAGGTATCTCTTTGCTATAATAAGTTATCTAATAGTAAGGCTAGCTCTATATAAGACTCTATAAGTCCTAACCGATTAGTAGGTGTTTTAATAAAGGTCCGCGACCAGGACCGGTGGAGGCAATAGTAATTTAATTAGCCCCCTTTCTATCCTCTTTTTTCTTAAAATATTCAATATAATATGAAATTCTATCTTAGATAATCCTCTATAGCATAGAGCTACACCCTTTGGACTTTTTTACGCCCCCCCCACCTCCGGTGAGGGTGTCACTATATTTTATATTTTGGCCATTTGTCATTATATCTATATATATGTAATCATGCCTATGTTTACGTCCGAGCCAAGGGGTTACGAAACGAATTCAATTATGAGAAATCCTCCAACTTCTAACCATGTAGTCTCTTCTTAGTGTCATCTAAGATTGGCTGTATCTTTTACATAAGATTATAAGAGTGTCTATTTCGGCTTTTATGAGAAGAAAGATCACGGAGGGCATACCACTGTGGTGATCGGATATTAGATATACTCTTCAAAAGACTTTCGACGCTGTAGCCATTATATGGCTGCGTTGGTAAAGGTCCGAGGCGACTGATCTTGTGCATCTCTTTTATCAATGAGCCGAGAAGCATAGATGAGCATTAGAAGGAGCAGATATCTTTGTTATTGCAGAAAGAACTGCGGAGATTGTTGATCGCTTTAAGAAGTCGACTAATAAGGTTCTATCTCTTTTTATTGATCCTCTCTGGCAATCGCGTTAGCTACGGCAGAAGACGTAAGCAGGAATTACAGACCTAGTATACCTGCGATTGGGAGCTCTGTCGTCTCGACCAGACCCTCGCCATGTCTCAAAGCTAGTTCTGTCATGCATTCAAATTGCTCAGGCTATCTAAAGGCCCACGCCACGCATAGACAGAGGGTGGACTCTGGGCCATGGCACGTCGGCATGCCATTTCCTATTGTACAAAGCCATCGGTCGGCGAAAATTTCGACTATCTCATGACATTCGTAATAGTCGACGATAGTGGCGAGTTTGCAAAGTGTCTCGAGATTGAGAGATTTTGGCACTTCTCGGTGATGGCCGTGAACAATATTTAATAGAATCAGAAGAGCATCTTTGTTCCAATCGCTAGCCGATATCGAGCGACAAGACCCATTGGAGGCGGTCCCTTCTCTCCATGGCCCATCCAGCATTGCCCGAAAGACAGGAGAAGCAAGTTTTAAGTGTTTTGAAGAAACTTGAAATCGAACCTCGGAATGCTGAGCTATCTCTAGTTGGTTCGGGGCAATGGTGTAAGCAGATGTAAACTCGAGAGTGGTGCCATTTGATACACCGTTCGCGCTTAGAGTCGTCGACGGAGGTTGGAACGGGTTTGGGGCTGGAGCTGTGGCAGTTGAGATGGGACGAGACCGCTGCGAAAGCTTTGTCGCAAGTTCCCTGAGAGCCTGGTTGGTTGCTGTAGTTGTTAAGCTCATGGAAGCGAAAAGAGATGGAAGGACCTGGGCATTTGGTTTGTGAAGAACCAACTCTAGATCCGCCTGTGGGTCTAATGCATACGATAAGGGCGGCATCACGGATGTGAATAGACCTTACCTACGGAGCTATAGGAGAATTTAGTTATTTTAGCTACGAGCGGGTATGGATACCTACGGAGTCTGGATGTCGTTTGACTGGATATAGTGATCAATAATGTAGCTGACCACCGGGTGGACGCAACAATCTTCAAATACTCCTGGAATGAACAATAGTCTGCTTTCAAAGTTGGAAAACAAAGAAATTGGATTAATTTGTGGGAGAGAGGAGTGCATGGTCTTTAATTCTTGAGTAGCCATTGATCCGTTAAACAATGGATCTCAACAAAATGATAGGTAGACTCCCGTAGCTCAGCACGTCCTGTGCTCCCTTTGGAGACTTATGGAGCCTCACGGCCTCCCGGACGATAAATATACATGCATACATACATGCTCATCATGCACGTTAAATTCCTTGCTCAAATTCGATAACTAACTAGACCGCACCTAGGCGGCAAAGAAATATGTGGAAAATAAAGCAAGACGAGACAACAGACAGCTATGTTACTCTGGCTTTCTTCCCCAAATGACTCGTTGCTGAAAGAAAGCATGGTATCTGCCTGAACGCATCTCACGTCGAAACTGAGCGCAGTACACGGAAACCTCCTCCTTGGTCCATCCCAGAAGCTGGCTCGCCATGTAAAGCACGTATCCCTCCAGGTCCTGTTCAAGAGAGGCCTGCAGATATTGGCCAATTTCCTTTTGTTTAGGGTCTCTGGGCCAACCCCCAATCGGGACCTTGAATTCGTTGTTGGCATTAGCCCTTTCACATTCTCAGGAGCAAAAACCAAGATTTTCAATCTCACCTTCTTGTCCACATACTGAATATCGACAAATCCAGCGGCTTCCATGCTCTTGCGCTGAACATCATCTTCAACGACAGTGCAGGAACGACCCATTTTCTTGGCACCCTCGATGAAGAACTTGCCCCATTCGCTGTGGGCACTACCGGGCGGAATCGTATCATCATCACTCTCCGCCACGACTGTTGGCTCGTAGCTTTCAACCCAACCACCAGGCTTGCATACCCTGTATGCGTTGCTAAACAACGCATTCCAGTCTGTGATGCTTCCGAACAAGTAGCGCATATGCACGTAGTCAAACGAATCGGGTTCAAATGTCCACGTTAGGTTGCAGTCCTCGATTTCACTCGGCTGGGTCAGTCTCCAAGATACGTCAGTGTACGGTAGACTCTTACAAGGTCAGGTTTGGTGGAATCCAACTCGGTTGGATGGGTGAGAGGTCTGTTCCAATAACAGTTGCAGAGGGGAACTCATCGGCGAAATCGCTAGTGTAAAGAACAGATATTAGAAATACTCAAGCGAGAAGTCTCGGGGCCAAGCATACATTGCCCAAATGCCTAAGGTGCTGATATTAGCCGTGTTCTTCTCACCCCGACTGTCCGATTTTGAGGCCATACCTGTTCCGGTTCCCACGTCTAAAACCTTCTAAAGAGTCGGGTTAGAGCGAAAAGATTGCCCCGGAAAAGACATGCTGGTACCTGAATGTCGTTCTTCAAGGGTGCTAAGAACAGCTTGTCATCAAGAACGAGAAGCATGGCGTGATGGCTGTGGGTTAATGAGATGTTAGAATCATCCTGCCGCTTTGAGGAGCCGCTCACTTGACGTCTTGTGATTCATTTTGCTGTTCATCGTTGGAGGCCCTATATGCCGCCATTCGGTGAATAAGGCTTCATCCACAGTAGTTCGATCCTGCCATACCAGTATTCGGCATTTCCTTGCTCAGAGTGGTATGTGCGGCCGTGGATAGTTCGATACCGCAAAATACTGGAGCTTAAGGACGCCGTCGAGGTGGCTGCATGTGTCCCGAGAGCCGACTCCGTATCAACGCCATCGTCATCGTCTCCCTAGGCACACTTTTAATATGTCGCATAAAGAGACTAGAAATCAGCAGCCTGTTACCTGTTGTGCGAGTTGTACCCAATGCTCAGCGGGATGAAACGCTTGCGCCTGGGGTAGTGTGACGCCGTCGTCGCTCGGCTGTGGCCCGCCGGTGCCAGACATTATGAAACAAAGTTAATGAAGATGAGCTAGCAGGGCAATTATGGGAATGACGGATGATTCACCCCACCGAACGAATTCTTAAGTGGATTAAGAATAGTTATGTCAAATCTCAAGAGGTTGCGGGATTTTCTGTAGACCCCTCCTTCAAAATGTGCGCCAAGACCACAATCATTGGCTCTCAGGCTCTGACTCTGGGCTCGCGTAAATATCCCCTCTGAGTTTCGCGATCGTCTGCTGTCAGGGGTTTGTGGTCTGAAAAAGTTGGATTGTATGACGAGTCATCGATCATAGCACACACAACACCGACAGTCGAAAGAGAAGGGTTTGAGTTTCAGTATTTCTTCAGGAACTAATAGCAAGCAATGGGGCATGTATGCGTGATCGCAGGGAGCTGTTTTTCCGGCCGAAACTGACCGCGGCACCAACTTCGAGCCTTTCCACGTAGAAACACGCAACTTTCGCATCAGCACACTGCCGCCAACGCCTCTGCAGCTATTCCAGCTTTTCCTTCCTATTTCCCTCGTTGAGAGATGGGTCCAATATACCAGAAGCTGGATCTCCTGGCCGAAGGAAAATGACGTTAATAGCTGGAAGGACCCGATGACGAAGAACGCAAGGCTACGAGTTTGGCAAGGGACCTCTATTGTAGAAGTATATATCTAGCTTGGAATGCTAATTTATATAGGTATATATAAGGAAAAGACGATTAAGAGCTACTAGAGTACCCCGAAGCCGGGGCAGCAACGCCCTGAATACTTAATCGTCAAATTTATGCCGTATTAGAAGTTTTAGATCCTTTATTATTACCAGTTATCATTTATCTTAACTAACTGCCCTCTCATATAGGAATATAAGGGTTAGGGATAATAGGTAAATTTTAACTATAAAAACTTATTTAGAATAAAAGAAAAATAATAAATATAAGAAAATAAGAAGAGGATAATAGAATGAACCTAGTCCTATATTTTTCCCTACCCAGAAGGCTAGTGATAGTTTGGCCCCCCTGTCCGCCATTGATCCGTGCCCCTAACCCCCCTTGCGAAAACCTCATCCACATATGATAATATCACGTCGCCTTGATCCTCTCACCCCACAAATGCTCGGTGTGCAGGTCCAACGTACTACCCTCATTTAATGCCATATTGCGACCACAAAACTCAATATACCCAGCCGTCACACTACTCAAATCCAATCCTGGATTGGCATCTTCTCTGACCTGCACTGTCCAGTCGCAAAACGGCCCAATGGGTGGCTTCTCGTTGACACCCGGAAGGTTAGGTCTGCCAGCGTAGTCGTATTGGATGTCCTGGATGTCATAGACGAGCTTGGGGTCGCCGCTGCATTTGCCTTTCTGGTTGAATATGGTGGTTTCGTAGGAGAATTGCAGAGATACTGGGGTGTGCGAAAAAGCGTGAGGCTTGCCGTCTGGTGACCAGATGACTTCGCCGCCGGACTGGAGGATTTCGATTCTGAGGGGGTGGGAGGAGTTGGTGATGGAGGTTTGGCCTGTCGCGGGCAAGGGCGTGGGCGTTGAGCCGGTGGTGGAAGTTGTGTTGGGGGTTGTGGCGGCTGGAGAAGAACTGGTAGTGACCTGGGATGTGTTGGGTGCCGCTGTCTGGCTCGGCGAGCTCGTGTTATTCGTGTTATTCGAGTTGTTTGTGTTGTTTGGCGTGTTCAACCCAACAGTGGCTCCCAACAACCAGACTCTGACCTGGGTCAGACGCACATTGACCATATCACTGAAGCTCGGGCTCGAAGCAGGTGTGATAGGAAACATGGCTGTGTAGTTCTTTGTGGGGTCCTTGATATCGCTGAGCGTGTCACTATCCAGCTGGACGATGATGCCCTGCTCCAAGAAATTCTTGGACTCCGGCCAGGATGACCAACCGCCCGACTGGAACGTATCGAAACAGCTCTCAAACTTGGAACTCAGTTGGCTTTGGTAGTTCAGCAGATTGATGGAGCCGTTCATGGGCCCGGGCGTTGAGAAAGAAACGGTGTCGATATCCATGGGCCCCCAGAAGGCGAGTGCTCGAGCCTGGCAATTGAGCTCCTCCATGATCTGCAGTTGATTCTGGCACATGAGTCGCTTCAGCCAAAAGTAGATGGTAGGCAGCGCGGGATCAAAGTTGAGAGCCTCGGTTCCCAGAGTGGCGGATTCGCCGGCACAGCCGGCGACAATGTTCTCTAGCTGCAGGACCGTCTGGACAAGGGCGTTGTAGTTGACCACGGCGTCGTTGCGTTGCGTTACTAGATTGATAAAGTTTTTGAGATCCGCCGTGACGGCGGCCGAAGTTGCGGTTGGGATTTGGGCGCTAAAGTTCTTGATGAGCTTGGTGATGGTGTCATTTGTTGCAAAGATTTTGGCGTAGTCGGGCTGGTCGGCGGTGAGATCGCCGGGGTCGAGAATCTGGAACGTGTTGACAAGACTGCTGATGGTCCCTTGGCACTGCCCCAGCTGCTGGACGATATAGCTCTTGTTGACCCTGTTGTTTTTGTTGTTGGCAATGGTGGTCCAGGACTGATATGCGACATTGACGCCTTGAACGCCGGTGGTCAGTTCGTCCGGTGCCATGCACAGCGTAGACAGCGCATTGAGGACAAGATCCGGCGTGACGTCGAACTTGTTCTGTATGTCGTCGGTGAATGTCTCGAGAGCGGTGCTGAGCTGTTGTTGCGCGATTTGCATCTGTGGCGTGAAGACGAGAATAGCGGCGAGCGCAACGTCGAGCTCTCCTCCAGTATTGGTGATGTCTTGGATCTGACTATTTGCGGCGTCTTCCATGGCTGTGTTGGACGTCTGTGCTGTGTCGACTTGATCCTGCGCGAGTTGTTGCTTCTGATCGGCCTTTGCATACTTCGAAAACACCTTCTCGAGGGCCTCAAAGGTGGCGATCATGGTTGGGACGCGGGCCTGGTAGTAGGCCAACGAGAGACGAGGCACCCAAGTCGCGGAGTGCCCCCAGATATCCTGGTTGAGAATCATGCTGCTCAGACGCCGTTCAGCGGTCTTGTAGATGCGATTGAGCTGTGAAATGGGCTCTGTTGTCAAGTTGTAGTAGGACGAAAGCCATTCCAGGGCCGTTGTAAGAGCGCACCCGATAGGGGCACCATCGCCCCTGAGCATGACATCCAAGAATCCCAATCGCTCTGTGAGCTTGTTGTACAGTTTCATTGCCTCTGGAAACTTGTTTCGGTCGTTGGTGAAGTACAAGGCGTCGGCGGCTTCGAGTATCATCTGGCATTGTTCGGGGCAGGCAAATGCTTGGTCAATGTTGCAATCGGCCCGGGTCCCGACCAACGAGACAAAGAAGGCCTCGGCATGGTTGTCTGGTTGATCGGTGCCACGCGCGCCGCTGGACTCGGCGGCGGTCAGCCCACTTCCTCCTGCGCCCCCTTTACCACCGGCAAGTTGGCAAACGGTTTCGATAAAACTGTCTTTCTGCGTGTCGGCAGCTATCTGCAGACAGTCCATAAGAGTGGATAGTTGATCCCGCAGTGGCGATGGTGCCGAATAGGCGACAGTGAGGTTGGTGACCATCGTCGTTACCGCAGCCAGGGCCGTCTGCAGATTCTCTTCGTTCTGTACACCACCCACAAAGTTCTTACATTGCGCGGCCAAATGGTTCATTGCTGTTGCTTCTGACCCATCCGGGTTTCCTGGCCCACCACTGCTATCCCTAAGCTTTCGAAGAGCAACGAGGAGCGCCTTGGCACTTTTCATGGTAGCTGGCCCCGGAATCGGGGTGACGCTTAGGGGATTATCGATCCGGACGAGATCGGCCAGTTGGGTCTGGAGGTTCGTTGCCGACAGATGCAACTGCGACATGCTTGACACCATCGTCGCCCATGCGGTGAGCACGGTTCCATCAACGCCGTCGGCCAAGAGGGTCGTGGTGAGTGTAGCGGATAGGTTTGTGTTGACGTCGTCGATCCACAAGACCCACGGCTTCTTGTACTGGTCCGTTGTCGTGGTCAAGTACAATCCATAGCGCAGTGGCTCAGATCCGATGTAGCATCGCAAATTTCCTTGGTCGCGTTAGTTGTTGATGATCCAATGTGAGACGTCCGGAATGCCTCACCGCAAGTGCCACCGTCTCCTCCGTTACCCGCAGTGCTGCCATTTCCTCCTTTCCCCCCGTCACCTCCAAACGCCTTCAAGGTGAGCGTGGTGTTGAGGTCCGGATCTGGGGCCTCGACGTAGAGCCAAATGGCACCAGCGTCGCCGCCAGTCTGTCCATTTGATGCCGAACTGGATGCAGCTGCGGTTGCTGCAATACCGGCTGGCGCAGCCGCATCTACAGTCGGTGTTGGTGGCTCAATCGTGGTCGCCACTGGAGCCGTATTTGTTGACCCGGCCGCGGCTGTCTTGCCGACGGCCTTGGACACTCCGACATTCCCGTCCTCGCCGGAGACGTCGATACAAGCATGGCCATTACACGACTTGTCGATGACGAGCTGGTTGCAGAAGATGCCAAGATTCTTGCCTGGGATTGCGATCTTGCTACTGGCGAGGGTTACCTTTTCTGCGTAGATGAACAAGGTGCTTTCGCTGAAGTTCAGCGTCTTGTCGAGTGTGACACCCTCAGTTCTATTGGTAAGAATGGCCAAGGTGTCCTCGCGGTTGAAGACAACATAGTTATCGTCAAGAGAGCCGCTTGAACTCAGCACAGGTGGGGTGATTGGAAAAGTTGGCGCTGGGTTCGCTGGCGTCGCCGAGCTGGGTTGCGACGGCCCGGGCGTTGTGGTGGTTTGGTCTTGGGACCCCATCTTGAAAGGCGCCAAAGTTGTTTCTTCCGTAGAGAATGCGGATGGTATCCAGGAGGAGTGGACTTATGTCGGAAGTCAAGACGTGCTACTCTGTATGCTGTGCTGGATGCTCCCAAGACCTGAAGACCTGGGAGCATGATGGAGTCTAAGCCCCTTCGGACAAGTCGTCTGCGAGGCCGACTCACCGCCGCTTTTCAGCTGCTCTTATCCTCCTCTTTAGTCTCCTTTCAACAACCAACGGAAGCCATAATATGCGATCACTGTGAGCGTGCTTGAGACGACGGAGTAGGCGTATCAATAATCGCTACCACGCGGATATAGCAAGGGTCCCCCGGCGGGCCAACCTTTCCGAGCCTGGCGAAGCCCCGGATAGCCCCGCACGCTACTATAGTCTAGACCGCAGGGCGAATATATCCCTTATCGTGTCTTAGCTAGACTTGTTCTAGATTCCACGTCGAACACGGGACAGCGGAAACTCCCGCCCATGGGGATCGTCTCTCAGAAGTACGTAGGTAGGCCAAATCGTCGACCCACTGCTGAGATACAAATACTGCAACAATGTCAGTGAATCTGAAAGTTGAAGGGGCGCAGAACCTCATCTGTTGAACCCACACAATCCAACATCATTCCGTCGCCATGTCAGGCACATCTCAGCCGTCGAACCCATATGGGCAGCTGCCGTTTGATAACACAGACCCTCCCACAAAGCCTGCTCCGACCACCCTGACCAGCTCCATGCTTGGCAAGGATTCAATTAATGGATGGGATGTGCTGGTTTCGTATGACGAAGTGACGCTCAACACACTCCTAAGCAACCAAGCCCAGGCTCTCAATATCAGTGCTCCTTTGACCTGGTCGGAGCCATACACGAATGACTTTACCGGAGCTATATCGACGCTCTAGTTCAGCCTGACGCTGCTCCAGCCCACTCTTGCTTTTGCCGATTCCTCCAACACAGTGAACCTGACCTTTGGCTTGGCTGGCAGCTATACGGACTCGAACACGTCTTCCACCGTCACCCTGCCGAGCGGTCTGACCTGCGTCGTCGCCACCAATCTCATCAACGTCTCCGGAACATGGGACGCGACCGGCTGGAATACTGATGCTTCGGACTCACAGGACTCCAATAGCGGCAACACCGTCGTCCTTTTGGAGCCCCACACCAGTGCCACCTCTGGTGTCTGTATCGACTTCCGCCAACCCCAGGCAACCCTCAATCTGGCGCCAGGAACCTCTATCGTCAGCGATCCATCGTCGCTGCTAGACCCCACCGTCGTGACGGCGTTCCTGCAGGACCAGATCAAGGCGCACTTTTCCAGCTGTGGCCTCAACGTCTGTCTCGCGGCCATCACTAACAACTCTGCCGTTGACAACAGCACCGAAGATGTTTTGCAGCCCGCCGAGTTCTGCTTCACCGTTGCCAAGGGAGCCTTGATGATGTGGATCGGCCTCCAGGGCGGGCCCAACACGGGCACTCGTCCGTCAGGCCAGATGGCTCAGCCGCTGGTCTTCAGTCCAAGTGGCCCCGGGTCCGAGATTCCGTCCATTCCCCTGGGACGCCATGCCAGCGTCATCTTCAGTCACGATACCATGGCCAACTTGTTCCTTGTTCCTGCTCTGACGGCAAACGTCATGGCCCCTGCCAAGCCCGGCGGCTCACCCACCCCAGTGTTCAAGACGGTAACGTGCACCTCAACAGCCGGAACCCGTGAGTATTTTCCCCCCACTCTTCGTTAAAGAGTCTGTTGCTGACCTCGACTAGCTGGGATGAATTTCTCCCTGGATTTCAACTCTAGCCCGACCACGGTTGCTGAAGACTCAGACGATGAGGTGTTTTCCAACTCCTGTTACGATGGCTGCACCGTCGACCTGGACGAGAACGCCGCCACTCTGACCATTGACGGCAACCAACGCCCGGTGGTCGGTAAGAGTCCTGCGTTCGCCTTTACTTGGGAAAGCGACACCAAGCACGTGACCTGGGGGTCCAGCGCGATGTTCGGCGGTAGCGAAGGAGGGGACTGCTACCTCACATTCCACTGGAGCGGAACAGGTCAGTGGCAAGGAGCCATTGATGCGACACGTCTTGACCAACTCGCCGTCATCTTGGACTTAGACCCGACGTTTAGCACGGCTGAAACAGGCACAACATCCATCAACGGGCTTTTTCCCTCGAGTGGTGTCCCCTCGGAATACCAGGGTCTCGCGCCCGACGCTCCCTCGCTGAATATCACACTGGAGCCGCTCAACTACTTGCTCACCACCAGCCTGCTCCTACCGGGGCAGTACGAGTTCCTCGCTGACTACCCAGTTGCGGCCTCGACCTCGGTCCAAGCAGGAATTGCCACGCCTCGGGACACCATCTTGACTGGCAACATCGCGCCGAAAGGCACACCGCTGCCTACAGCACCTGGACCTCAATTTCTCGGTCCGTACCTCATCAACTTTGAGTCTCTGACATCTTCACCTGCCGCCGTTCCCGGCGCTCTGGACTCGATCCCAACGTCAACCCCGGTATCGGCGGCAGTGGCAGCACAAGCCTCAACCTCAGGATCGGGAACCGATCCAACGCCCCCGACCCTGGACGACTTCAAGAATGCTCTCCTCTCCTTCCCTCGGTGCAACATGCTTGGCGACCTTCTGACTTCGACGCTGGTAGAACCGCCAACGCTGTCGGCGACCGATCTCCTCACCAAGTACGGTTTCGAAAATCTTGTTGGTACCGACTTGCTCTCTCTTTGGGACACGAGCCTGGATCAACTTCTCAGTGAGCCGGCCTCCGCACCTCCGTCCCCGACAACATCGACCCCGACGCCGGCGCCGGCGCTGGTGCCGAGCCCCCAATCTGTAGATCTCCGTCTATATGCCGGCTACTATGTCGTCTCCTCGCCTCCTAGCGCCGCTGGGGAGCAGTTTGTCGTTGACCCCGTCACCGGCCACATCAAAATGGGAGCCGAAACCGCCGTCCCACGACAGACATTCGACACGTCGACCAACCAAGTCATGGTCACCTGGCAGTTCCAGGGAACGACCTTCTCGGCAGCCTTCAGCGTGGTCATCACCCCTGATAAGTTGCAAGTGGGGACATGCTGCATCGGCGCCACCACAGCGGCCTCTCAGTCTGTCGCCACGACATCGCCGACGACATCACTCGCAGTATCGCTGGCGGCCGGGGCGACTCTGGAAGCTAGTCAAGCGCAAACCCCCGTGCCTACACCCACGCCCACGCCTATGCCTACGCCTACGCCCTTTGCGGCCTACCTCAAGGGCTTTCCCGTACCCGGCCCCCCACAACCCATGATCCTCATGATGTCCAACAACGGCACCAACACAACCGACCCGTCCTCGTCCTCGACCTCCTCTTCCGCCCTTGATCAAGCCAACGCATGGGCACCCCTAACCGCATATATCAGCGTTGTTCTCGTGGCGCTCACTCTGTACCAGACGTGGAAGCAAACCCAAATCCAAACCAAAGTCGCCACCAGCGAGGAAGTCAAAAAGCGAGATGCCGAAATCGCGCTACTGAATGCGAACAACAAAGCCTTGCAGGCGGCAAAGGACAAAGTCGACAATTGGGTGGAAGAGCAGCTCACTCAGGAGACAAAGAAGTTCTACCAGGGCTCTGCGCGTGCTGTAGAGCGGGAGACAGCCATGAGTCAACTCGTCACGAAGATTACGGCGGCGGCGACCCAGAGATTGGATGCCTTCCTGGTCACGAATGATCCAAACAAGACGGGGAAGTGGTTGACTGATCCCGCCGTTGTGGCGGATGCGAAGATGAAGATTATCGCTGCAACAAAGGAGGCGCTCCCGGCCAGTGCAACCGAGGCTCTAGGGCCGTTGACGGAGGTTGTCATCCAAGATGCATTGGACAATTCGCCCTTGAAGGGGCTGTTGGGTGCCGTTGATGTGACGAGGATTCAGGCAGCGGTCAAGGGTAAGGAGATTGATCGGGTGGTGGGCAATCTGCAGGACCACGGGGGTCCAAACAGCGCACCGTTTAGCGAGTTGGTCGGGTTGAAGGTCTTGAGCCAGAAGATATCGGTGTTAGGGGCCACTTCATTGACGGCATTGCAGGGCGAGCTGACGACCTTGCAGACTGGATTTGCCACGGCGGGGGAGCAGGTATCCGTGCAAGAGACCGTGGTGAAGCAGGCGGAGGTCGCCGCGGAACAAGCGAAGGGTCAACAGGGGGAAGAAGCGGCGCAGAAAGCATATACTGCCGCTAACGAAAAGCTGGGCCAATTGCAGAAGGACGTCGAGGCTACACAGAAAGCGTTGAGTGACAACCAGCAGCAGACAGCGGATACCACGAAGGCGATGAAAGACAGTGAAGGCGAAGAATCGCGGCTGGGTGGGGAGGTAGACAAGAAGACAGTCGAGGCGTTGAAGTAGAACCCTGGTAGAAATATCAAGAACCGCTGGAGAGTGGCATCACGGAGCTGTGCGTATTGAGCTGAAGATAAGGCAGTCTAGCAATCACCTAGAAAAACGTGAGCGGCATTCGTCTCGCACTGTGCCCGCGTCCGCATGGTAAATGCACAGATTAGCCCTCCCCGGGAACCATTACCACTGACCTATTGAGGGAGTGGAGATGAATCCTAAATGCTCCCTAGACTGCGAATAAACCTTACCAGGACTGCCGTTCCACCCGAAGTCTATTCCTGCAAGTGCCTTACTAGCTAGAGCAGCTTCTGAAAACCCTAATCGTGCCATCCATCTCCAGGCACGCGTAAAGGTGAGCAGACTTACCAACCGAGACTCATTCTAGTGGCAAAAAATCTCAAAACTTCCTGTCTTGTGACGGCATAGTTCCAGGCTAGTTTCGAGCGGTACCCAAAGACAGTCTGGTCTGATACGGGATATGTATTGTTCCGCCACAATCTTTGCATCTTTCTTGTTCTATTCTGTATTCTTTGAGAGAACCCTGGCTCCAGCACACTACTCTCTCACCATGCTGCACTTGAATGGCGTATATGTTGACTTTTTAAAGTTGCTGCATATCAGCTAATCCAGCTTGAAGAATGAAGAGCGCAAATTCGTGACAATTGTGCCTGAACTTGAGAGCGGATTTGACAGGTAAGACTTCGAAGGGCAAGTAATCCTTCCTATGGCTGATGCTACTACCAGTCTCCTCCGATCCCAGTCTGTTTCATTTATTGTTGGACAACAAAAGATGGAATACACAATCCATGCAGAGGTCTTCGCACGTTCATCCGCACCACTCGATGTTCTGATCAATGGCGAAATGAAAGAAGCCCGAGACGACCGCGTAGAATGGTTGGAAGTCGAAGAGGACACATTCGTGCGTTTCAGCCTGTGGGCTTAGACGGGTTCCTACAGGAAAGCCAGCCCACATCTGGTGATTCGCTCCTCCAATACTACAGCTGGCGCTGATGAGTCTGTTAAAATGGAGGCTTCGGGGCTGGAGGTTGTTGAAGACATACCGGAATTATACTCCCTACAGACCATCTTAGGAAAGCGGCCGCGCAAGTTACCTCCGAATTGCAGCAATTTCCATTCAATCAAAACTGCCACCACTTCTGTGGTGACCTGCGGGATGTGCTCACTGGATTTCTATCGCCCTCAATATCTAAGGAAACCTGGTTCTACCGACTCTCTTCATTCTACACCATCCATTCCGGTGTGTCCACCTTGCTCAGAGAAATCAACAAGTAGTAGACGATATCGGCTTGCCGAGACATTTATCTACCCCACTCCATCTAGGATCTTCGCATTCGGGACGAATACAGATGCAGCAGAAGACCACAGCGAAGTCTTACTATCGCACGCCAAGTTGTAGGTCCATGTGGAGATATATAATATAAGACTGCTTGCCCTCGTGTTTAAAGTTGATATGTATGCTAATTTAATTTAGCAATTCGCTGAGATTCTATATCTAAGCTACCGTAAATTAATATATAACTCCTAATAGGTTAACTTATCTTAATAGCTATAAGCTAAATTTTTTTACCTTTAGGACTAAAACCTTTTTTTTAACAAGTTATACCTATAACTTAACTTCTTAAAAACCTTAATTCTTTCTTCCTAGCCTTTTTATTTTATACTTAATATGTTTATATAAGTTTAAGTGGTTTTATTAACTTTAATAAATTATTAATCTAAGCTATATTATTTTTATAGCTTAAATAAAGTAATTTATCTTAAGCTTTATAATTATAAGCTTTTAAAGTTATTATAAGTTATAAAGTCAATAATATTATATAAAATACCTTAATGCCTTAAGTATTTTTATATACTTTAATCGTACCACTGCATGCTGCTCATCTTGCAGGGTAATCCACCACACTCTGAGGTCAAACCTACACTCAGAGCGTATGTCAAGCCCATTTGTTCCAAGAAGAAGTTGTACCATCCTTTTATGTTCCCTCAAAACCGTAATCAACAGTGGCGTCTGCCCGCGGCTATCTTGACTATTGACATCAACTCGTTTTTGTGCGAGTAACAGCGCAGCTGCTGCCTCATCCCCGTCGCGTACTGCTTGCAGTAGAGACGCTTGAAGTACCGAATCTGGACTAGACTCGCTCAGGAGACCTACAATCTCGCGATGTCCCCCTGTCGCTGCAAATAGAAGAGGAGTGAAGCCGTCGTTCTCCTCACAATCCAGGCGGGCACTTCCATTTCCGAGGATCGCCTTGACTAGTTCCTCTTCGCCATTTTCTGCTGCCCAGTGGAGTGGTGTCTGCAAAAGATAATTCCTGGTGTCTAGACTAACGCCATTGAAATTACTCAGAATCTGTCTGATCCTTTCGTTGTCCACCTCTATAGTCCTGCGTAGTCTCTTATGATGAGGTTCGCCTTTAGAATCTCGGTGCATGCGTTGCTGTTCAAGGAGAAACCCCACCATATCATAATTGCTATAAGCTGCTGCCCACCATAGCAGGTTCTCATCGTGGTTGTATTGGATGTCCAGATCCGTACGGCCCTGAGAAACAAGAAACTTGACCGCTTCAAGTCTCCCAAAATCGATAGCCCACAACAATGCCGTCTGACTGTAGGTATCGGTCGACCTCAGAGAAATATCGACATTCGCCAACATTGACTCGGTCAGTGAGTAATGCCCTCTTGCGATCGCAATCTTGAGCGCTGTAGATCCTTGAGAATCTCTTGACGTAATGTTAATCCCATCAGCCTTCAGTAGCAGACTGACCACGTTCTCATGTCCATTATCTGCTGCGAGCGACAACGCTGTCAACGCTCTGGGGTCCTTGGAGTTACAATCAATACCTTTTGCCTTTGGGAGCCGCCTGACCACCGCCTCCCGCCCGTTCGCCGCCGCATGCCAGAGCGGTGTAGGACAGGTAATTTCAAGGCCTTCTTTATGAATGACTCCAGAATTGACATCAATGTCATTCCTCTCAAGCAGTATCTCAACTACCTCCTCGTGCCCATTTTCGGCGGCAAAAGACAGCGGGGCCCGACCACTCCACCAATAGTGAACCGGTGATAGCGCAGAGTCTGGATCGACACCATCGACAAGTAACAGTAACTTGACCACCGCTACATGGCCGTTTTTGGCTGCATATGATAACTGGGTCAAGCCACTATGTTCAAGTGGCCCAGGTGTCTTTGAGTTGACATCGACACGAGGGGTGGTAAGCAGCAACTTAACTACTTCCTCGAGTCCTTCTCCTGCAGCCAAAGAGAGCGGTGTGCGCTGATACGAATCCTCGCCAATGGAAGCATTTCCATATTCTCTCGTCGAGTATCTGATCCAACCAGCGAAAAGATAGGACTTGTGAACTTCCGAAGGAAAGAAGGGTTCGCTGCTCATATAATCTGGGTCAATGTCGGCTTGCTCAAGCAGCAATTTGGCCACCGCCTCGTGTGCGTTGTACACTGCCCACCAGAGTGGTGTCACCCCGTACAAGCCTGTGCAGTTGACGTCTCCGCCTGCCGCGAGCAGCTATTGCACCACAGCTACATGCCCGTTGGCTGCTGCATATAACAACGGCGTGCCTCCGTAATCGTCCGTAGTATTGGTATCGTAGGTTTCAAGTAGAGCCGTGACTATTTCTCCAACTCCAAGGCATGCCGCCAGATGCAACCCATTCATTCCTTTCGGAAACACCTGGCTGTACCGCAGAGGTTGACGGAAACCGTTGAATGCCCACAATGACTGAACAGCAGCCTGCACTTTTCCCTCGCTCTTTACGAAGTCCAAAACTTTACTGCTGAGTTTCTTCGACTCCCGGGCATGGTGTGCCCAGTTATGCGAGGAATAGTCGTAAAACGGATAGAACTCCAACCGATCCTCAAACTCCTCATTCGTTTCGCAACATCCTTCCTCAAACGCAGTAAATGAAAGATATGTGACGCATGTCTCCAGTATTTGGTCCTCGCAATTCGGAAACAGTGTAGTTTTCCTTGATTCGAAGTACTCTTCCGCGGTGTGGTGGACTAGTCGGATGATAGCACTCTCCGTATCAACGATGACCAAACCGGCACATACGGTCAGCACGTCTTCGATATTCATCACGCTCTGTGGATCGATTTCTGGAGCGTCTTCTTCTACCGCCAGAGCTTCTAGAAGTTCGTCTATCGTAAGACGTCTTTTGACGCAGGTAATCCACAGTAGAACTTGCGTGGCTGCCTCTCTACTTTCGGCTTTCTGACCCTTAATTCTCTTCATTGCATCGTCGTATGTATCTTCGTATGGATGTTGGTTCGCCTTCGCCCTGATTTCAAATTGACGTAACTTAGCTCTTATGGCCTTCGGAGTCATTGCATCAACTAAGGAGTCAATATAGAGTTTTGCAAGTAAGAACCTAGTAAGCAGAGTTAGCATGATAAAGTTGCGTATTTTCTAGTTCCTTACATTCCATCTACGGAAATGATAATCCCGGTTTTGATCTCTTCTTGTAGGGCAAGATTGCCTCTCAGGAATCTTTTTATTACCAACAACTCGCTGTCCAAGTATCTTCGTACATCCTCTTCATGAGCACGAATATCTAATGAAATGCCATCCTTGAGATCTCTTGTAATCTCAGGTAATGGTCTTGACGTTACGAAAATGTTGACTCCAGATTCCTGCTGAAGTTCGGTGATTTTTGAAAGAAAGCGTGCTCGACAGTTATCAGATACCTGGCACTCATCAAGTGCATCAATGACGACAAATACCCTGGTATGCATTGCTATCACATATCGGAGTGTTGCAATGTATTTTTCGAGCGTTGGTCTAGTCTGTTGGGTTTGGTGTCGTTCATACAGTGCTCGCACAGCTTGGGGCAACGGAAACTGTCCTTGAGCAAGTTGCTTCAATAGGCTTGCCATCAACTCATTGAGTGTCTGCTGACTTTGTCGTTTGTGATAAAAATAGATGAACGCGATCCCAACAATGGAATTTGAGTTCATTTCTCGTCTCTTTCCTAGATCTTCGATCAAAATCGATGCAAGTGTCGTCTTTCCTGCTCCAGGGATGCCCGGGCAAAACAAAGTGGCATTGTCTCCGGTGAGCCAGGCGTGGTATTCTTCTGAGGCGAGAAGCCATTGACCAGTGTTTGGTGCTCTTTTCTCCAAGTTATCGCTGTGTTGAGAACCGTAGTCAAATGTGGATAGCCAGTTCAGAATCTCTAGGTCTGCTTTATGGTCGGAGGGGGATTTCAACGTGTCAACCTTTGCCCCGATTATTGTGAGGGTGTCATGTGCTAAAATTAAATGAGCAACTATCTCAAACTTCTTAAGATGACTGACCTCCTGAAAGAAGCTCGCCGAGTCTCCTTTCATTCTCAACCTGGCTGGGAGGAATTTCTAAGAGAAGATGTTTTGCGTATGCAGCTACTACCACAGCGGCATATCCCTGCCAAACTTTGTTCTTGTGCGTGTCAGAGTAATCGCAGATACCCCTGATAATCAAGCAGGGAAACCGGTTCATCAACCCTGCTGCTTCCATCTCGAAACAAAGAACATTCTTTTCTGCTGCGAGCAGATCGCGAATCGAAGCGTCCATCATCAACTGGTTTCCTAAAGCAACAAGTCCATGGTGAACTTTTGGATTGTCGTCGTAATCAGCCCTTGTGCGTCGCAATATCAGCCTGGGTGGATCATCACCGCATATTGCCGCACAATTATTTGGGTTGTTTTCAGGATGTGTGATGTCGGACTCATATAGCGTGTCGCTACTTGGGTCTGGCCGACCATACTTTTTTTGCAGTTTTGGATTCTCCTTGAGAGCGTCGTCAATAGCCCTTTCAAGCATGCGATCAGCGAGCTATTATGTAAGGCTTAATCTAATGGTAGATTTATAATAAAAAGGACTACCTCCTTAATATATTTCTTTGGGTATATATTGCTAAGCAACACTTGATAAGACAAAGACAGTTTATTTCCGATAGGTTAGATTTGCAAGTGAGGGGTAATTAACAATCTTATTAATGATTGGGGTTGCCAGCCAATCGCAGCAGGGGTCAATTACGTCTCCTATGCTTAATCTTAGCTCATGAATTGCGTCTTAACCAAGCTCGTCTGTGTAAAGTATACAATAAAGACACAGGGCGTGCTATTCATTTTAGATTTAAATACCACCTACGTAACTAGCCTTAGGGTTATGGTTGGGGTTAGTATTTGCTATCTAAGCTAGTCTGCCCGGGAGGTTTCTTCTAGCTAAAGATATAGCTTATAAGGTAAAGAGAGGAGATTTCTCTAAGGAGTAAAAAGAAAAGAAAAAAGAGATATAGCTAGAAAAAAGAGATAGAGATATAGCTAAGAAAGAGATATAGCTAAGAAAGAGATATAGCTAAGAGAGAGATATAGTTAAGAAAGGGGTATAGGGAATAAGAGATAAGGGATAAGGGATAAGGGATAAAAGGTAAATAATAAGGGATAAAAGAGAGAAAAATAGCCTTAGGAAGCCCTAGAAGTATTCCAAATCGACCTAGCTAGGTTACTAGGGGTATCTCGGGCTATAGAAGCCGCCGAGGTCGCCCTAGTCCTCATAAGGGCAAGGCTTATAGAGGAATCCAGCTGGTTAGCCGCAAAGGGGCCAATAAGGTCCTGGAGCTTCTGATAGGTCTTAGCGGTCTCTAGGTCCATAAGGCCACCTGCTGAGAAAATAAGAGGCTGGAAAAAGGCCCCTAGGGACCTATATTTTCTGCGTTTCTCTTCCGCGGCCTCTCTAAGGGTGCTATAAGGGTCTTCCTTAGCAGAATCCTTTGAAATAGCTATGATTTGAATATCATAGTAATAGCGGCTATTTCCTAGGTTAACTGCAAAGTCGGCCCTTAGGCTACCTTCTGGGTGGACTAGGGGTTCTTTTTCGACCTCTAGGGTAGGCTGGCTACTTAGGGCTCTCACAAAGGCCCTAGTTATAGCGTCATGCCTTGCAATCCACCTTCTATTAGCACCCTTGCAGGTATCCTGATAGCCTAGGGCGGCTATAGCTCCGCAAGAGCTACAGGGTAGGCTAATTGGCTTGATTGGGTAGAAAAGCCGGCTTCGGAGGGCTTCAGTGACCTCAGAGTCTGTAAAAGATAGGGCTTTTTGAGTAGGCAAGACTCCTAGCCACTTGCGGCCGAGATAGCTAGCGTTTTCTAGCCTAGCGTGCCTATAGCTAGCTGGAAGGTCCTCTAGGAAGCCTGCTAGCCTAGCCTTATTAGCTTCCTTTAGCACCTGTTGTGCTGTTTTTCCCGGCCTAGGCTGGCTTAGGTCTAGGGTAGGCTGGGGGTCTAGGGTAGGCTGTGGGGCTAGGGGCTTCCTGATGAGGTCTAGGGTAGGCTGCGAGGCCTCCCTAGCTGCTAGGAATAGCTCGTGGGCTAGGTCTTTGTGCAAGGGTATTCCTAGGCCTCCCTCCCTGACTGGAAGGGCTATAAGGCTAAGGTTAGGCTCCTTAGGGCACTCACTAGGGCTTCTAGCCACTAGAGCTATAATAGTTTCCCTTATAAGGGTATTAGCTTCTTCCCAAAGGTCTTCTAGCCCAGTTGGGTCTAGTTGCCTCTGAAGGTGCCTTAGAAGAAGCTGAATACTGCCTCTAAGAAGAAGCAAAGAGTGCTGCTTAGGAAGGTCTTGTAGGGCCTCTAGGGCTTCCTGTAGGGTAGCTAGCTTTTCTTGTAAGAAGGCTTTTCTAGGCCGGATAGGGCCTATATAGGTGCCTAAGGCTTTTAAGCCTTCTAGCTTAAGGTCCTCTATAGCCTTTTCCTTGCTTTTAGCTAGGTTAAGGCTAAAAGGGGAGCCTTTTAAGACCTCCTTAGCTGCCTCTAGGGTGCCTTGCGGAGCCTTATTAAGAATATAGAGGTCATCTAGATAAGCTACTAAGGTTGCCCTCGGTAGCTTCCTAGCTAGGGCCTCTAGGGTAGGTCGGAAGGCAAGGGAAAAAAGAAGAGGTCCGAGAGGGTCGCCTTGCCTTACGCCCTTAGCCGAGGCTATAGCTAACCTATCTTCCGTGACTAAGATAGAAGGGTCATTATAGGCCCAAGCTGCTGCCTTATAGAAGGTAGGGGCATATATAGCTACCGAGGCAGCTATAGAAGCCCTATCTACTGAGTTAAAGGCATTAGCGAGGTCGATAGAGGCTAGCTGCTGGAAATTAGCCTTATTTGGGCCTATAATAGCCTCATGGAGGAGGAAAATAGCGGGTTCAACCCCGCCTGGGCTATTCACACCTAGCTGGAAGGGTAGGAGCATATTCGGCCGATAGGAGGTCATCAGGATCGCCTTCATAGCTACCCTATAGATAAGGTCTCCTATAGCTATAGGCCTAACCCCTCCATCGGGCTTTTTAAGCCCTATTAGGCGGCTAGCGCATAATAAGTGGGCTCCGGGGGCCGTGCCTTGGCGAATTATATCGGCTAGTAGCCTTAGGAAAGTTATCACAGGGGAATCTTTCCTAGTTACTAGGTCCAAAAGGGGCCTAGTCTAGCCACTAAGGCCCGGGGCCTTTTCCTTGCCTATAGAGGCTATAGCTGCTATAATTATCTCTGATGTGATTAGTTGGCCGGCCCTAGGGCGGGTCTTCCCTTGGAAGGGGTCTTTTGAGCCGATAGGGTGCTTTTCTAGCAGCCTAGCCCTATTTTCCGTTGAATTAGGCGCTATAGGGGTCGGGTCAATAAGAGCCCTAGCAGCCCGGCCTAGGTAGCCTCTCTCTAGTAGCCTAGCTGCCTTCTGAGCCGGGCTAGGGGCTATAGAGGGTCTAGCTGCCTTGGGGGGCTGCTCAAGGGACTGTAGGCTCTCTAGGGTAGGAAGGTTAGAAGGGAATAATCGAAGGAGGCTAGCTAGGCCTCCTTTTTATAACCCTAACCCTAGTAGCCTAGGTAAAATAAGGAAATATAATAGGGCCTTTTCAGTAGGCCTCTTTAAAAAGGCAGCTGCAGCTTTATGGGCTACAGCTATGAAAATAGCAGCCTGCCTTGCGTGTAGCCTTTTCTTAGGTATAGGGATCTTTGCAAAGGCTAATAGCTTCTGCATAGATGCCTTGGCTAGGATTGGGGCTATAGCTTGGTTATGTAGCTGCTCTAGGGTAGGACCCTCTAGGGTAGGCTCCTCGGGCTCCATAGGCTCTTCGGGCTCTATAGGCTCTTTGGGCTCCATAGGCTCTTCGGGCTCTATAGGCTCTTTGGGCTCTAGGGTAGGCTCCTCTGGGGGCTCTAGGGGCTCTAGGGTAGATTCTTCTAGAGGCTCTAGAGTGGGTCCCTGGCTAGAGGGCCTAGGGCTAGAAGGTGCAGGGCTCGAGGGTGCAGGGCTCGAGGACCTAGGGCTAGAGGGTCTTCCCCTTTCTTCATAGCTAGAAAAAGACCTATAGCTTTCCCTCGAGCTTGGTCGGTCTAGGGTAGGCTCCTCTAGGGTAGGCTCCTCTGAAGAAGGCCTCTCTAGGGTAGGGCTAGGCTGTAGCTGCCTTTGCCGCCTTGTAGGTCTTTGTAGCTGTGGAGAAGGGGTTCTTGCTGGTCTCTTTCTTCCTATAAGGCCTCTATAGCTGACTAAGCCCGGGCTAGCCTGATTAGGCCTAGTAGGGCTAATAGAAGAAGCTAAAGAGGCCCTAGAGGCACTAGTAGCCCTAGTAGCTATATAGGTCCTTGGCCTAGGTAAGGTAGAAATATGGGCTTGACCTTCTATGCCGTGGATCTTAGCACTATGGGTCTTGATGCCGTGAGAGCCCCGGCAGGCTGTGCCGCAATAAGGGCAGCTGACTAAGCCAAGGGGCTGTAGCTGCCGGTCTGTATAGGTCTCGGCAGGGTGTTTTTTGCGTATATGCTCTAGGAGGTCTCTATAGCTGCCTTTGCAGGTTGGGCAACGCTGCGAGGGCATTTTGCTATAGGGTAGGTAGGGTATAGGGTAGCTAGGTAGCTAGAGGTATAGGGTAGCTATAGGTATAGGGTAGCTAAAAGGAAATAAGGTAATTAAAAGAAAATAAGATAGCTAAAAAGAATAGCTATAAGGTAGCTAAGATAAGGCTTAGAGGCTAAGCATAAGGTTAAAGCTAAGTATAAAAAGCTAGGTAGAAATAAAAGAGACTTATATAACCCTAGGGTTATTCTAGAAGATTCTAACCTAAGCCTAGCATAACCTTGAGCTAATGCCTAACCCAAAGCCTGACCCTAACCCTGACCCAATATGTGACCCTGACCCTGACCCTAACCTCTATAGAAAGTTCTAGAATCTCTATAGAAGCCCAGAGGGCTTCTATCTATAGCTGACCCAAAGCCTGACCCAAAGCCTGACCCTAACCCTGACCCAATGCCTGACCCTAACCTCTATAGAAAGCTCTAGAATCTCTATAGAAGCCCAGAGGGCTTCTATCTATAGCTGACCCAAAGCCTGACCCTAACCTTGACCCAATGCCTGACCCTAACCCTGACCCAGTGCCTGACCCTAACCTCTATAGAAAGCTCTAGAATCTCTATAGAAGCCCAGAGGGCTTCTATCTATAGCTAACCCTAACCTTGACCTAATGCCTAACCCTAACCTCTAGAACCTCTATAAAAGCCCAGAGGGCTTTTATCTATAACCTAAAGAAACCTCTATGACTCTAAGGGGAACTTAACCGGGAGGCTAGTGGTAGTTTAGGCTAAAATACCATCTGGGGTTAAGAGCACGGACTAATAGCTATGCAAGGTAGTACGCGGGTATGGGTCCAAGACGCGAACAGGGGGGCCAAACTACTAGTCCCAAACTACTATTTCATGCTATAGCTAATCAGGATAGAGGAGAGAGAACTTTAGGGTTAAGGAAAAAGTAAAGAGAAGAGGGAAATATAATGCAACGCGTCTCTAGATGCCGGATTGATTCTTTGCCGGCCGGGAGAACATATAAGCTTAATCTTATTATTATATACGTCTATAATATACGGGTAGTAGCGTAGGCAACGACGATCGAGTAGATTCTAGTAGATACTATTCGTTCGAGAGAGAGCTTCTTCAGCGAAAGCAAGTAACTACTCACTACGATAGCCCAGGCGCGTCTAGTAGACCTACCTAATAGCAATAAGCCAGAATATTAAGAAGACACGGGAGAGTCCGCTAGTTATTATTATTATTATTATTATTATTATTCTTATATAGAAGGCACCTAACTAGGAGAAGAGTGGCTTATATATAACGGCGAGTACTAGTTATTAATCTGCGCCTTCTATGGCTATGCGGTCCGTAACCTCGAGAGTTACTTAAGGGACCGTTACCCTGATATTAACTATCGGGCCCGTAGCGATCTCGTCCGCCGCCATAAGGGTCTATAGCTATAAGGACCGGCAATAGAGTAGCTTATCTAGCACGGTATATTAAGCCCGACCCGGGCTATTAAGGGCCTCCCTATTCACCGGGGCTTCGCTTGTACCTAGCCGGGCTACAGGCACCTCACGCCGAGCTAAAAGCGCCTATAGGTTTACTTTAATAACAAGCATAATATAAAAGGAGCTAAGGCGTAGGCGGATCTCTGGACTAGCGTCTATCTATAGATATTCTTTATGGGACTAAAGAGGGCGATCTATTACTTCTATGTAGGCATTTCTATCGGCGGCAGCGATGCTATCTCGGTAGTAGGAGATCCTCCGATGCCGGTCGGTAGGAGGAGAAGAGCGATGATAGCAGATAGGTAGCAAATGCACCCGGAAGATTAGACTATAATCGCTAATATTACCTAAGGGTAGTCACTACAGTAAGAGGAGCAAGAGAAGATACAGAAGGTTATAGAGGAGGGGATCCTAAGGCACGAGACGATAAACTAGCTAAAGAGGACCGGCTAATTAGCCCACTTCGCCGGGAGGAATTTAATAGATATCTAAGCCTATAGTAGGATGCCTAGCTATGACGATAATGAGCTACGATAGATAGCTACGGCTCTAGATTATCTATTCTTCGACCGCTATATCGGCGGGTTAAAGAGCATGCCCCTAATGACCCGCCTGCTCCTAGCTAGCCCCTACCCTCACGATATACATAGCTAACTATTTAGGCCGCTATAAGAGAAGACTAGCATAGATCGCTACTTAGTATATATAAAGCGGTTCTTATGCTATTGCCTTAATATGCTATCGCTAGAGGAGGATACGCTATTTACCGAATACAGCTTTCGCTTTACGTATACATAGAGGGCTAGCCTCGAGCTATTCTAGGCGCATCTACAGGACGAGGAATAGTCGGGCGAGGGGCTATAAGAAGAGATATTATAAATTCTAGCAGACTTCTAGATATAGCGGCTCGATGGGGACCCTTTTGCGAGCCCGCTATGGCACTTCGTCGGCGTGCTAGGAATCGACGGCGAGATAGGGTAGCTCTGACTTACCCACCTATTTACCTATATGCTTGCGGGACTTGTCTTTACGGGGCGGGCGCTACTAGGAGAGTAGGCTATACCTACCTAGGAGCAGACCGGGATAATAGACCTCGCGCAATAGTTCGCCCAGGTTCGAGACGCCTAGCTCTATAAGGCGATATACTCTCCTATGGGCTATACGCTTAGCCTACTGCTATACGGAAGGAAGATCGCATAGGAGACTAATAGCCGGCTAATAGTATCCTAGAGTAAGGACAGCGAGATAATATACTTTATGGGCAAGCCGATCCTAATAGAGAAGATTCGTCATATAGTGGCCAGGATAACGAAAGACGCCGAGGACCTACTATAGGGTTAGTTAATATTTAAGGAGGGCGATAACGAGCGTTTTATTATTCCTCTGGCTGGTATTGAGGATAATCTTACCTAGATAAGGCGAGGCTAGTCCTTTATCCATATTAATAACCTCGTAGGCAAGGAGGTCGAGATGCTCGAGGACCTCATTATAGGCTCGCGGAAGGTAGAGTTCTTAGACCGAGCCGGCGAGTAGAAATAGGTGGGTATTAGGAAGTACCTAAAGCTAGTAAAAAAGTTCGAGGAGTTTCTATTGCTCCTCTCTTATATTACTAGCGGCTAGCCTAGCCGAGGGGAAGAGATTACGGGCCTATGCCTAGTTAATAGCATTAATAGGGACCATAATATCTTTATTATCGACGGCGATATTATGCTCGTCACCTAGTACTATAAGTCTCTAGCCTACTTTAACTCGCCGAAGGTAATCCCCCGCTTCCTACCGGAGAGGATTAGGTAACTACTCGTAATATACATAGTCTATATCCGACCGCTAATAGATCGCTGGGAGGCGGACAGATAGGAGCTATATAGCAAGATAGCGCCGCCGAGCGACTTTATCTAGCATAACAAGACGGGGCCATAGGAGGGCAATTATATATCTAGGGCCATAGGGAAGTAGACCTCCCACTATATCGGCCGCAAGATCACGCTCTAAGACTAGCGCTATATCGCTATCGCTATTAGCAAGAAGCACGCTCGCAACCGGGGGGCCGCTCGGGTAGACTTTAAGGATAGCGATAATAATAACAAGTCAGAGTAATACGAGGCGCCAGACGATCTAGCTGCCTATTACACCGGCCAGATAGCCGCTAACTATAGTATCACGATCGATATGCTAAAGCGCCTAACAGCCGAGTCTCTGGATATATTCGGGCAGGTAAGCCATCATTGGCATAAGTTCCTCGGCTATAACGCGCAGCAGCAATCGGCCTTAGAGCCGCCGCCGTCGTTAACTTCGTCCTCGAAGCGCAAGGGTGCGGCCGAGTCTGGCGGAGAGGAGAAGTGCTACCCTCCCCGGAAGCGGGCTAAGATCGCCTCGCTCGAGAAGCTAAGGGCAGGTATAATAGCAGCAGTGGGGGATAAGAAGAAGGATAATATGATCCTGCGGGCACTCCGAGCTATCCTATGTGATAATGCTGCCTAGTTTCGGTCACCCTAGTAAGAAGAGGCCGTTAGGTTAGCCGCGGCGAAGCAGAGCCCGCTAGTTACCGTGCTGCCAACCGGCGGCGGGAAGAGCCTAGTCTTTATGGTCCCGGCCATGCTGGCAGGTGCAGGCGTGACTATCGTGGTGGCTCCGTTCGCCGAGTTAAAGAGGCAGCTAGTCATACGCTGCGTCGATGCCGGCCTAGACTGCAAGTCCTGGCCCGAGGCGCGTAAATCTTAGCCCAGGGTTACGCTAGTCTCGGCCGAGGCGGCTATTACTAATAACTTCCTGCAGTGGGCCGCTGATCTAAGTGTCAGGGGAAGGCTAGACCGAGTAGTTATTGACGAGTGCTATCTATTATTTATTGCCGCCGAAACCTACCGCGCGAAGCTCCGCTGCCTTATTCTCCTGCGGAGCCTAGGGTATCCCTTTGTATTCCTTACTGGGACCCTGCCGCCGCTCCGTTAATGCGACTTCGAAGAAGCCATGCAGCTCTAGGCTCCGCTCTATATATAGGCTTCGAGCTATTAGCTAAACGTATAGTACTTTATCCTTCGCGTCTATAATAGACGGGGCGTTATAGAGGTAAAGAGGCTAGTAGATGCCTGGCTCCTATATCTAGCACCGGGAGAGAAGGGGGTTATATATTATATTAGCTACGCGAAGTATAGAGCGCTTGCCCGGTAGCTTAGTTATTATTACTATTACGCTTAGCGCGATAATAGCGATATATAGTTCCTAGCCCAGCGCGAGTAGGGCTTCTAGGTATAGGTTAATAGCGAAATACCTTATATCGTGGCTACCGCGGCTCTAGGCACGGGCCTTAATATTATAGGCATCGTCTATATTATCCATCTCGAGGCCCTATTTAGCATTATCGACTATGCCTAGGAGTCGGGGCGGGGCGGGCGAGCTAGGGAGCCTATTACCGCAGAGATAGTCGTCGAGGAGAAAGACTAGCCGGTTAAGGACTATATCCGCGATAGCTACCTAGACTTAAGCACGCGCGAGGTACATAGGCTAATCTAGACATAAGGTT